TCAGGACAAGTAATTTTATATATTTAGATAAAGAAAAATAAAATAAAATAAAAATTATTCTTATAAATAACAAAATATGTATATAAATATATGCATAGGATAATTAAATATTAAAACGTTATTTAATAATACATTATATGAAATTCAATAAAATGCAAGAATATGCAAAAATACTAAAATCAAGGCATTAAATTAAGAGCTCTCTAATCGTTTGATTAAGTATTTCCAGGCCAAAGGCAACCCGTCCGAATCTCTAGAATTAATGCATGCATCATGTAACCTGCTCTTATATATTTCAATTTTTTCAGCACAAATTGCCAATGTTGGTGAATGTAATGGTTTAATTTCTTATTGTTTTTAATACTAAAAACAATAAGAAATTAATATAAAATGAATATAAAAGACTAATGTAAAGAATACATGAGCATTTAACATGGCATTCGAAGGGCTGCTGGCTCTGGAAACTTTCTTTGGTTCCATGATGGAGCTAAAAGGAAAGGAAAAGAATGGAATTGTTTGGCTAGATAAGCGAAGTAATGCTCACACAATGAGAAACAACATCACACTGAGCAGGAAAATGCGTGGGTCATCCTTTGTTTTTGCAAAATTAGCAGTGAGATCACGTGGACACACCAACGAAATCCAAGGCAACTGACGAAAACCAAAACAAATTTTTCTCGGAAAAAATCAACAAAAACTGATGTATTACTGTATTAGTTTATCAGAAGCTTTCATGTTAACAAAGCAGAGAGCATGTGATGCCCCATACACAAGGTGATGTCTGTTACATTGGACTTTTCTTTCGTGTAGTCAGAGCAATGAGAAATTGCACTCAGTCAGTACGGTCTCTATTTTAGGGGAGCTAGGGTGACATTAGGGTTGCCATTGGCAATTTCAAATCAAGGCTGGAAGTCGACAAAAATATTTAAGTGTCGGCAAAATCATTTAAAATATAAACAAAATTATATTTTAATTGAAAAAATATTATATAAAATTATTTTTAATATTTAGTATGTTTACTTATAATGATAAAATGCTTGAACAAAACCTTAAATATTTTTTTAACAATACTTTAATTTCTTTAAACAAACCTTTTGGACCTCTTTTCATAGGTCTATGTCAGGTTTAACAAGAAGATTCCAACTGCCTTAGTTCAGATCTTGTTAAACCTGATGCAGACATATGAAAAGGAGTAAAAACATCTGTTTAAATGAATTAAAGTGTTGCTGAAAAACTAATTGAGGTGTTGTTTAAGCTGAATTAGTTTTAGCTTATATAAAAGTGTAAAACAAATGCAATTTGTGTGATTCTAAGTAAAACTAATTATGTGTGCTAGATTTACTTTTGTTTTGAGTTTTAAAAAATTTATTTTTTAAGATGAATCAGTCTAGGCATTTGTTTGATTCTTCTTTCTTCAAAAAAGTTTGTGCAATTATACATTTAGAAAAATCTGGCTTAAGTGAATGAATTCAGAACTTTTGATGATATTTGTTTGGCTTGTTGCATCATTTGTCAAATCTTATTTAGTTTCAATATGATGGAATAACAGCATTTACAAGGCTTGCTGATTGCAAGAAGTGTATCTTCTCGTTTACCTTCCCTCTTCAAAGATGGCGACCCTAAGTGACACAATGGGATAGTTCTTTGAGTAAAAGGAATTTAATAAGTCGTAATTTCTTTGGAGGTAGTGTTGCATTATTGACTTTATCCAAAATAAGATTACAAATTTGTTTTGTAGTACACAATAAAAGTATGCATATTTACATATAAATGGAGAACTTTTGGTTTCTTTTGAAAGATTGATTCTGTATTTCCCAATCGGTTTTCCATTCTTAAGCTTGATGTTTATTAATTAATGAATGCACCATGCTCATAATGTAAATCATTAAGTTTTTTAAAGAAAAATAAACTTTAGAAAGTATTCAAAAGAATCATATTGGAATTGGGTGTTTTCAGCACAATCAGGAGAAATTTTGGTATTGTCCCATCACTAATGAAAAGGGAAAGATAAGAAGAAACAGAACAAGTAAAACGGCAAAGTCGTATTTGGGACAAGACTATGTCTCGGAGACTCACTACTAAGTGGAATCATTTTGATGCTCAAGTGGGTCTCATTCTCATTCTCCAATCTTCTTTGATGTTGCTGGTTTTGAGCGCAATCATTGAAACTTCACTGGCCACATCCACGAGGTTGATCACGATGCATTTTCAGTGAAATTAACCTATCCATGTTGAAATTTCTTTCCGTTGTGTGTCGGTCCAGGTTGAATTTTTGTTGATGCCTAACAAAAATTTCCTGTTTTTGAAAAAAATAATCATGGCTATTGTATCATCCGAAATTATTTTTTTAAATTTTGCACAAACAATATACAGTTTAACCCAATTATAACGTCATCGGATGTAACGACAACACTAATATAACGTCTTTAGCAGCACGGCTAAAATTTATACATGGCATGTCTTACCTTGTCCATGATGTCCATGTCTTTTGTTCTGCCAGTAAAAATTAACTGAGAAATGACCCAGGCAAATAATTTACTTTATTTGGATCTACTACGCAATATTTACAATAGTGTCGAGATATAATACAAATCCAAGATCATCATGGCTGTCGACTCGAAAGGTTAACTAACGTAAAGTGAAAAGATGTCTCTCCTCGTTGGAGTTCAGGAGCAAAGTGAGGTCAGAGGGAAAAGGTCACACAGTGGTGCCCTCTGCCCTACATGTCAAATTTTTACCGGTTTCACGATTTTACTATACTAGATAATGTTAAAAAAAAAAACCACTTGTAACAGCATAAAATCGTTTTAACGTTATATTTGAAGCACTCCCAAATTTACAAAATCAGATTACAAATTTTATTTAACAGAAGAAACTACGTGTTCAGTCCTAAGGTCAGAATTCACTTCTTAGAATGACTGTGGGTGGTACTCTCCCCCACCTGGGCCCTTAGTCTCGAGTTTTTCGTGTTGTACTCAAATTGACGTCATCGAACTCACTCGTGTTACTGTGACTCACATAATCGGTAGTCTCGAGTTAGACCCATCGAGCGAGCTCGAAAGGCGAGCGGAAGTAGGTCATATTCACTTGTTTACGTGTATCGTTAAGCATGATGGGATTATTTACAATGCATCTGGGTTTGCGACTATACTGATTCGACCAATCAACTTTACTGTAACAAGTTGTAAACAAATCAACGTGAATTAGTTTACACGTGTTATAGTTAAAAGTTTTGTCCTATAGCAAAATGGAAACCTCCAATATTTTATTTTAAAAAAGAAACGAAGAACAAAAAGAAGTATTAGTAACATATATAGAAAATAATAAGAAAACGAACAATATAAAATTCGACAACGAATTTACAAGAAAAAGACAATTTGATTTGTGGAGAGAATTAGTTCTAATTATGTATTGGAGCTAAAAAATCCGCCGTGTAATGGAAAAAGTATTTTAATTTAATCCTTTTTTCATATAGTTTTCTTCCTTGATCTCGTATTAAATTGTTTTGTTTATTAAGATTATTTATTAATCAGAACTTAACACTAATGATTAATAAATAATCTTAATATAGTGTCTATGCTCTTAATAATTTATACATATAATTTACTATCATTATAATTCTTTTTGTCGATGAATAAGATACTTTTTATTTTTGGAAAAATTTGCTATATAATTTTATCAATTATGAATTAAAATTTTTTATTAGTGATGACTTGACATAAAAAGAAATGGCATCTACTCGTGTTCGAAAAATTCGTTGACATCTTAAACAACTCTTTCGGCTATTTCTAACGCTTCGATTGCCATCAGAATAGCGTATTTGTCAGCCATTTTCACTTTCGTGTAGCGATCTCACATGCTCGACTCAACGTGAGTAGCAACTCGCATGGTGAGATGGGAAAGCATGTGAGTTATAACTGGAGACTACCGATTTGACGTCAGAGTGTGAGATGGTACCACGTGACACCTTCAACACGTTGGGAGTTGTAACACGAAAAACTCGAGACTAAGGGCCCTGACTTCGGTGGGGTGAGGTGCCTGTTTGTAGAAGAGGGTTGCCATTTTGTATTTTATTTTGACTCAGTACTCGGTCCCCTAACTACCTACAAGTCTAGATTTTTTTATGCACAAATTATTTGGGCACCTAATACTCTGTGCCAAATATCAACTCTCGACATGTACTCCTTCATACCTCTAAGCTGGTAACATAAACACGCAGGAAAATTTTATAAACAAGACATAGTCTTGTCAAAAATATACCAAAAAAAAAGAATAAAAATGTTATTTGAATATTCATGCAATGCTTGATAAGCATTGCATGAATATTTTGCAGATTCATTAAAGTTGTTCACTTATTCTCTGCATAATGTCTACTTTACTGAATGCTAATTACAGTAAAGCATCGATTATCCGACTCAATTGGGGACTGGGGTTGGTCGGATAATTGAAAAGTCGGATAACCGAAAAGTATGAAAAAATCCATTATTAGTGTAGTATATTATTATATCCCATGTAATTAGTATATTGCTATTAACCTACTTCACGTTGAATTTTCCTCCATGTTAAGCCTATCAAATTTTTTTTAAAATAATAATCGTCGCTATTGTATTGTTAAAAATTAGAAAATTAAGCCTCGTTTAAATACTGGCTCCCTTTCATGGTTGATCCACTGTTGCCAGCTAAAACACGTAAAAATACTATTAAAGTAGCCAAGACATAGCCAAATATTGTAGCGCCACATCACTAGCGGACATTTGAATTTGCCGACTATAACGCGGTTGGTTAACCGAGGTGACGGTTAATCGTGGGTCGGATAATCAATGCTCTACTGTAGTTTAATAAATTGTTTAAAGTTTCAATAGTTTTACATAGATTTTCAAAAATATAGAGAAAATAACTAATATTTTGCATATAGAATCAATTAACAAATTTTAAGCATTTGTAACAAATAATTGTTTTGAATGTTTTTATTTTTTTAATACTTTGTTTTTACATTGTAGTCCCATATTTTGGCTGGTCGAAGTGTTGCAGGAACACTTAGAACTTCCCTTGGTCCTAAAGGTAAATATTTCACTTTTCTTACCATTTCATGAAATAGCTAATAATGATTAACATTTTCATATAATAAATTAACATGTTGAGAAGTTAATGTGCACCCTCTATCCATAATTTGTATGAGAGACTGTTCCAAAGTATCACAGGATAGTTTTTTTATTTACTTTACAATCAGTTGGAGCAGTGTTTCTCAACGGGGATGATATCACTTCCATGTGGACGTTTTTCCATGTTCAGGGGGGCGATTAGTAACAATTTATATTTTGGGGGGTGAAAAAACAATTTTCTGGGCGATATAGTAAAACATTGAATTAAGAATAATTAGATATTTTATTTGTTATATCGTACAAAAATTAAACAAATAACATTATATAGTCACTAGTCTATTCGATGCAGTACGAATTTGGCATTAGCCTTGTCTCTCGGCATTGGAATTTTGTAGTGAAGGGGGCGATGATTCGTTAGAGGTTGAGAAACACTGAGTTAAAGGATGTATTAGTTCCTTGTTTCCTCTTGTTTTACCACTGAGCACTTTTTGACACTTTTCCTTTTTTTGCACCCAAATTGTGAGTTTTTCTATTTCTATTTATAAATCAGTTATTAATAAAAATTATTAAATTTTTAATTAATAATTTTTTGCTATTTAAGTGCCTTCTGATGTAAAATAGTGGTGTTTAATAATAATAAATAATTGATTATTGATATGATATTTTCCAATATAGAAGTTGAGAAAATGAATACTGGCTAATATCTTTATTGATATTGATATTAGCCAGTATTCATTCCCCTTGATATCAGGAATTAATATTGAAATTTATAAAGGTAATTAATTTAACGGCCCAATGCTAACAAATTTTGAAATTACAAATGAAATATGTTGACAATTAAATTTAAAATTAAAATTATAAGTATGGTTCCAGCATCAAGTTAGGCTGGTCCACACTGGGCCTATAATACAGTAGAGCGTCGGTTATCTGAAGGAATTCCAGTCGACAAATTTAAATTTTTGCCAGTGCTGTGGCGCTGTAATCTTTAGCTGTCTTGGGCTACTCAAATATTTTACGTTTTTGATACTAAATTAACTTCTGAAGTATAATTTTTTATTGTCTTTATATTTTTCAATATATTTATTTTGTTTGTACAAAATAAAAAAATAATTTTTAACGATACAATAGTCTTCGTTAGGCTTAACATTGACGAAAATTCAACGCAAAGCGACATGCAACGGAGAAAAATTTCAACACAGGATAAATTAATATATTTTTTCGTACATAATTGGTTATCCGAAAAATAAGTTATCCGAACAACCCCAGTCCCCAATTGATTCGGATAAATGACGCTCTACTGTATATAGTGCTATAACACTATACTACAGTGAGATCACTATATCCATGATACACAAGTGTTGTATGAGTTCCACTTGTAAACTTGTCAAAACTTACTTTGACCACAAGACTGATGGAATTTTGAAAGTGTTTTTTTTTTATGTGCATTTTATTGTTGATTCAAAAATGGAGAAATAAACATATTAAATTTAAGAAACTGTAAATTATCTCAGCTTACACAGATTAACATGGGTTTTGTGTGAAATTTGAGAGGAAGGTGTTATTTTCAAGGTCAGGGTAGATGGTTAGTGTAGCCCACATTGACTTGCCACTACTACTGCTGTCAATAAGTTGTTAATTCTTTTTTGTCTTGTAAATAAAAATCACTTCCTGATTTCAAGTCAGTCAAATTACAATTTTGTTATTTTATTGTATGCAGAAGAATGTTTTCTGTAATGTTCATTTAACAACTAGTTTTGTTAGATTTGATTAATTTTATATTTTAGTCACAGTTTAACTGGCATTCTGGTCTCCCTGGTTTTTATGCAGCATGCCAGTTATTCTGGGAAAATACTGTATATGAGAATAGTAGAGGTAGATAACCAGATTATTGTAACAATTTTGGAATATCAATGTTACTGGTATAACAGAAGAGATCTTTTGCCAAAACCTGGCTAAGTAATATTCACAATATACTAAAATTATATGGAATTGCTTTATAAATCTTTGAGGATAATGATAATTGGAATTTAAATCATGGAATTTCAATGAATATTTTTTTACAGCATCAATATTGAATGATCAACAGTATTTTATCCTTAGTATAGTGATATCCTTTCTATCCCCCACAGAATAAGCTATAATTAATCTAAATATTACAGTAATATTCAACTAAAGAGACTAATTTTATAAATATTTACAATTTGATAAATCTCAATGGAATAGGTTGTGTAAAAATAATAACTTTAATATCTATTACATTTTAAAAGAATGTTAGTTTTGCAATCAATGAGAGAAAGATTTGTTATTAATCAAGTTTAAAAATAACAACTTGTAAAAACTGGTTAACTGGAATAAACTATCATCACAAAAACCAAAAACTGACAGAAATTGTAAAAAAAATTCCATCTCTTGTTGGATTTAGAATGTTAAGTGCCTGAATATATCCATTTAATATGGAGAAAAACATTTGCTAACATTATTTTTTTTACCATTAATGGTTTTTGTGATGATAGTTTATTAATCAAGTTTTTACAAATTCTACTGATATAAGTTTTCATAATAAGTCAAAAATTTGTACTAAAATATTTAAATTTTTATGGAAATTGAATATTTGTTTTAATTATTTACTTCTTTAATTTATGTATTTCCCCCTGTAGCAGAGAAAAGCCTGTCTTGAATGAAGTATTTATTGATTAAAAATAATTACAAAAATAATGAAAATTTGTGATTACGTCAAATAATTTTATAGTCAGTCGTTTAAAGTATTTTTTACAACATGAACATTTTTTTAGGTCTTGATAAAATGATGGTTTCATGTGATGGTGACGTAACAGTTACTAATGATGGCGCTACAATTTTGAAAATGATGGACGTTGAACATCAGATAGCTAAACTCATGGTACAGCTATCTCAATCACAGGATGATGAAATAGGAGATGGCACTACAGGTGTAGTTGGTATGTATTATATTTTCTTTAAATGTATTAGAAGATATTTAAATTTTAATTAACTAGTTTAAAATTTGGAAGAAGATTACAAACAATAAAATTAAATTTAAAATTTTTGATTCTTTTAGAAAATATATTCCTGGCAATAGTGATTTTCACTTACTGTAGTTCAGAATTAAAAATTGCTCATTAATAAATAATTAGTAAATTAGTTAGAAAAGCACATTTATTCAGAATTTGTAACAAGTATTATAATAGTTAGACATGTCTAAAGTTACAGTTAGGACTGAAATTTTTTATATGTAATTTTGTAGGGGACTTGAAATTTATTATTTTAAATTCAAATACTGTTTAATAATAATTAAAATAGCATTTAATCTAACTGTGTGTGTTGTGTGAAGGCAACTGCCTTATTTGTGTTTTTGGGCATTTCTCAGATACTATTATTTATTCTGAAAGCATTGTACAAATTTATCATTGAAGAATAATTGGATTTTTTTTTCTTTATTTTATCTAGTGAATGCTGCATGAAATTTTTTCCATTAGTGATTTGAAAGCAGTAATTCCCATATCCATTGGTTTACATGGAATATTCATTGTGTTTAGTAATAGAAAATAGGCTGTATGTTCTAGTTTAAGATCATTTGTTGTGTGATGAGTCATTGTCTAGAAGAAACAATATTTGACATATAACTCAAATTTATCAAACTGTTTAACTCGAATGTGGTTTTGATATAGTAATTTTATAAACTCTTTAAAATTTTAATTTGTATAATTTAATAATAATAAATAATTGATTATTGATATGATATTTTCCAATATAGAAGTTGAGAAAATGAATACTGGCTAATATCTTTATTGATATTGATATTAGCCAGTATTCATTCCCCTTGATATCAGGAATTAATATTGAAATTTATAAAGGTAATTAATTTAACGGCCCAATGCTAACAAATTTTGAAATTACAAATGAAATATGTTGACAATTAAATTTAAAATTAAAATTATAAGTATGGTTCCAGCATCAAGTTAGGCTGGTCCACACTGGGCCTATAATACAGTAGAGCGTCGGTTATCTGAAGGAATTCCAGTCGACAAATTTAAATTTTTGCCAGTGCTGTGGCGCTGTAATCTTTAGCTGTCTTGGGCTACTCAAATATTTTACGTTTTTGATACTAAATTAACTTCTGAAGTATAATTTTTTATTGTCTTTATATTTTTCAATATATTTATTTTGTTTGTACAAAATAAAAAAATAATTTTTAACGATACAATAGTCTTCGTTAGGCTTAAAAAAATTTTCGTTAGGCTCAACATCGACGAAAATTCAACGAGAAGCAACACGCAACGGAGAAAAATTTCAACATAGGATAAATTAATTCGTATATTTTTTCGTAGACAATCGGTTTTTTGAAATATCGATTTTCCGAACCACCCCAGTCTCGAATTGATTCGGATAATTGAGGCTGTATTGCATATAATGTATCCTATGCATTCCCAATCTGGGCTGCTCTATTGGTAAATAAGATGGAAAAAATACAGCTTTGGTTTTTAACCACACATGTTGTCCATGCGAGAATCCTTACTTCTCGCATGGACAACTGTATGTGGCCAGCTCACGCGTCTGGAAACTTTCTGATTTATTCGTGTACGCACAGGACGGAAAAACAAAAAATATTGTGTATCCACAAGCACTCCAATAAATAAATAGAATTGAAACGACACTTTGAAATGTTTTTCCGATGAAAATGAATAATAATAATAAGTTTCAATAAAAATGATAAAATGTAAATTTAATTTTATCATAACGAGNATAAATACGTCAACACTGAAATGAAAATCAGTCTGGCATAGGGAAAATCGGGGAATTACACCGCAAAATGGTAAATTGCATAGTGGCGTTATTGTGAATCAGCGTAAACTGAGGGCTACCTGTATTGGGAAAGCATTTCTTGGTAGCTTAATTAACCATTCAGTTAAGCATTTTGGAGTTTCTAGACAACACCAAAAAGTTCACATTGACATGCTGATTCTATGTAATAAGACCCACGAAAATATCATATAGATAGTTTACTATGAGTCACCAGTAAACCAATGCACGGAATCTTAATTTTTAGCTGAACTTTCATAACTTGAAACTTACAAAAATACATAAAATACTAAGGTATTTTTATTAATATGTATATATTAATAAATAAGTCGACTCCCCTCCTGAAAAAATGAGTTCACACCACACAGCTTACTGTGTAGTGTGAACTTATTTTTTCAGGAGGGGAGTTGACTTATCAGACATCTAAACAAGTGTGGGACAGAAAAAGAATATCAATTTATCCAGTGGTGACAAGTTAAAACGTGAGATTATGGCATTTTGACAAATTTCTCCAATTAATGTCTAGACTTACAATAAAATGGTGTAGCATTTTGGCTAACATTTTTATGGCTATTGCTGTAATATTATTATTTTTTAATGAAAATTTCCTCTGAGCCTAGTTTGTGCAATTGGACATAATTTGCACTTCTTCAGATGCATATATATTTGAATATACATCACAAATTTTTTTTTATTAATGAATAAATTATTCAAAAAGTACAGTTTTCTTGAATAATTTTTCTGATTGAAATAAAATATTTTTTATAAATGTTTATTTTAAAAATCGTTATATATAAATCTGTGTGTTTAATTCAGTACTTGCAGGTGCCTTGTTAGAGCAGGCTGAGCAGTTATTGGATAGGGGCATTCATCCAATTAGAATAGCAGATGGTTTTGAAATGGCTGCAAGATTTGCTATGGATCACTTAGAAAAAATCAGTGACAGTTTTACTGTTGACTTAAATAATTTAGAACCTTTGATTGAAACAGCAATGACTACACTTGGTTCTAAAATGTAAGTATAAATTTTTTTTTTCCAATTCTGATTAATTGCTCCCATCACTAGTTCTTAATTGAGAAAACTTCAGATTATTCAATTACTATTTTACCATAGAATATGTAAGGTTTAAAGACAAAATTTTATTATCCAGAATGGAATAATGTACAAGCTAATGTACAAATTATGAGAATTGTAGAATTATGAAAACTCCCTCTTTCAATGGAGTTTAAAGATAAACTTGGAAGAAAATACATCATAGTGGAAAGTCTAGCTGTGAAGTCTTCAAAATTTGGTAGACCTAGTGGCACTTTACTTGATTCATAACAATTTTAAAATATTTAATTGTGGGAGCATCTTTAAGGCTGAAATTACTCGCTTTAAATTTAGCAAACCACTTTCAAACAGTTGATTCTGCTACAACACTCCCATCATAAACATCACATATTTTTCTTTGCTGTTTGTACAGCATTTTTGCCTTTACGATAGAAGAAAAAAAAACTTAGAAAGTGCATATTGTTCACATTCATTTTCAAAACAAAACAAATTAAATGATATTTGAATAATCTTAATGGGCTTTTTTGTAATTGACACGTCTTAAGGTCATTTTTCATAATATTCATATACAATTCTAATAATTTTTGCTTCAATCAGTGTCTCAACTGTTGGCTATCAAAAATCACTATGAAGTTTCTGAGTTTCTGAATAACTCAATAATTTATTAAATTATTTTATCAAGTATTTCATTTTTAAAATATATAGTTATCTAAGTTATGTTGATACATAAAACTGATATGATTTTTCAAAATGTAAAATTATTTAGGTTCGTAGATAAATAGGTTCAATTTGGAATATAATATAGGGTGTCCACAAAAGATCTTTATTATACAAATTCACAAGACAAAAATATAGCATTTTATTGAAATGCAGTTTGCAGTAGAAAAAAAGAATAGCTCAGAAAGTTTTTCATTAGTATAAATATTTATAACAATGCTAATGGCTTGCAGAATTAAAAATGGTAACAGGAAAAGGTATAGTGTGTATTGTGGTTAGTTAACCACTCTGCAGTGATTGACAAATATACCCATCGAGGGCGATCACGTGGTACTGGAGAATGACATTGATACCCGCAAAAAAATTTTAGCCAAAAATTATCACAAAAAAAAAATTCACATATAAAGGAATTGTGTGACAATAAAGAAAGATTTTTTTCTTTACTAGATATAACTGTTTAAAATTTTTTTTTTCTGAAATGGAAATGAGAAAAACATGTGGAAAAATTCTTTAAAAATTTTCCATGTTTATTCTCCACTACATCGTGATAGCACCATATCTGCCTAACCCTCTCTACAAAGGTTAAAACAAAATCACTCTGTGCCAAGAAAGTATTGTGTGATTTTCAGAAAGATATCACCAAGTATCCCTTCAATTTATGTTTGGATATAAAAATTTAAAGAAATTCAGCACTTAAAGATTCATCTAATGTCAATGGGTAACTATAGCATTTCGAGTGCTGAACAATTTTCTTAAAACTTTTGCATCCAAGAATGAATTGAAGAGACATTTGGTGATGGTTTTTCTGCACTTCCTGCAATATTTTCTTTGCATAGTTACAGCAATTTTGTTTCAGCTAACCACAACATTGTACTTTTTCGTATATTGTCATTATTTTTAATTTGCAAGCTGCTAACAATATTATAAGCATTTACATTAAAAATCTTTTTGAGCTATTCTTTCTTTTACTACAAACTTCATTTCAATAGACTGCTTCATTTTTTGTCTTGTGAATTTGTATTAGTGATGTGCCAGGTATCCGTATCCGTGGATATCCGAGGGAAAAAAAAGATCCGTACCCGTATCCGTTACTTTTTAGCGGATCTTTAACGAATCTTTTATCTTAATGAATTTCATTACTTATATGAAATTTTAAAGATAGGTAGCAATAAAATACTAATAACTTCAATTCAAATCATTTTTTATTTCTTAAAATCACATATTTGGCACATTCATATTTCAAAAATTTTATCATGCAAAATTCATTTACTATCGTAAAATATTTCCGTATTATACTACTAAACTTTTTTGTCGACATTGTTTTTATTTTAATTTAACTCAACACTCTCCAAAGATACAAACATAATCTATGCTATCCCACGCTCAGTGCAAGTCAAAATATGTTGCGTTACTAACGAAAAATGTCAACTATCGGTCCAAGGTCACAAGCATCGGTGCCGACTGAGTACGAAAGTTGAGATCCGTATCTGTATCCGTATCCGTGGATATACATTTTTAACGATCTGGCACATAACTAATTTGTGTAATAATAATAGATCTTTTGGACACTCCCATATAATATATATATTTATGCCATAAACATGAACTCATAAAACAAATAATTAAGTTAATAAATAATCTTAATATTTTTTGTTAAATGTTAACCTTTTTCTATTTTAAGTGTAAATCGTTGTCTTCGTCAATTTGCTGAAATTGCAGTAAAAGCAGTCATGGCTGTTGCAGATTTGGAGCGTAGAGATGTAGATTTTGAATTAATTAAAGTAGAAGGAAAAGAAGGTGGGAAATTAGATGATACAACTTTGGTTCATGGAGTTATTGTAGATAAAGATTTCAGCCATCCACAAATGCCTAAGGTAACTTTTTTATAAAAGCATTCATAAGTTATTGATAAAGACTAAAAAATTGAAAAAAAAAAAACTAAACATTAAAATCAGTAACATTGTATAATTTATTACTAAACATATTTAGGATATATTTTTATGACAGTTATTACTTTCAAGGAATAATTCAAAAATTAGTAAATTTTTTAAATTTAAAAAGTACAGTGGTGCCTCGTACAACGTACTTAATCCGTTCCAGCTTGCAGGTGCCTTGTTAGAGCAGGCTGAGCAGTTATTGGATAGGGGCATTCATCCAATTAGAATAGCAGATGGTTTTGAAATGGCTGCAAGATTTGCTATGGATCACTTAGAAAAAATCAGTGACAGTTTTACTGTTGACTTAAATAATTTAGAACCTTTGATTGAAACAGCAATGACTACACTTGGTTCTAAAATGTAAGTATAAATTTTTTTTTTCCAATTCTGATTAATTGCTCCCATCACTAGTTCTTAATTGAGAAAACTTCAGATTATTCAATTACTATTTTACCATAGAATATGTAAGGTTTAAAGACAAAATTTTATTATCCAGAATGGAATAATGTACAAGCTAATGTACAAATTATGAGAATTGTAGAATTATGAAAACTCCCTCTTTCAATGGAGTTTAAAGATAAACTTGGAAGAAAATACATCATAGTGGAAAGTCTAGCTGTGAAGTCTTCAAAATTTGGTAGACCTAGTGGCACTTTACTTGANTTGCTCGAGTCACGTAACGGTCAAACAGAAAGTTCGTTATTCGCAGCGTATGTTATACAAGGCACCACTGTACTCTATTAGTCTACTAATTAAATTTTTTTTTAACATTGCAAAAATTTTACAATAATTACAGAGTATAGCCAAAACAATGAATTTTTATTTACAGTTTGTGTTAATGAAATAACTAGCTACAAATAAATACAGACAAACTAAATTTTTTTAGAAGTTTTTAAGATGTTTGTAAAGTTGTAGTTTTTTCAACTTTGTTTCATTATTAATATATTGTAAATAAGTTATTTATTTCATAGATTTTTTTATTTTTATTTGTAATTCATAAATGAATTTTTTATAAAGTTATAAAGGAAAAAATAACAAAAATCAATGCAAATATAACTGTAGTAATTATTAATAGAAAATTCTGAGTAACTATTATTGATGTATAACAGAAATCAGAATTAATTTTGTTCATTAATTTATGTACTTGTTTATAAAATATAAATAAGTTAGTTAACAAATATATATGTACTGTCTTTTCAGCATGTTATAAAGGAAATATTAAAGAAATATTATAAAAGAAATGTGTTTTTATAATATTTCTTTAATGTTTCCTTTCTATCTTTTATACATCACATTGATTTCATTTGAATTTCAAAATTTTATAAATTTTGTTCAAAAATCATCACATAAGTGCAAAATTTAATTAAGAACTATTTAAAACTCATCAATGTATCCATTAAGTTGTGTTCTTAAAATACATTCTATTTCACCTGAAGACAACATTTATACAATATCGAAAGTATTTGCGTGCATGAGAATTATGTATACTAATGCCATAAAGACAGTACGTATATATTTATTAATTAATATTCATTTGGCATTTTGTGTGTTTATCAATTTTATTAATATAAATAAGAGAGTAAAAAGTTGTTTCACAATTAATTGCATTTATTTCTGAAATATCAGATATATACATAAAAAAAACAAGGGTGTTTCAAAATTATATAAAAAAGAGTATTTTGCAGTTGTATTTTATCTGATTTTATAAAACATAAATTTATCACAGAATTTATAAAGGATTCTACAAAATATTTCTTGTTATTTAATAAAAATTATACAATGCATTTTAGTTATTCTTGAATTTTGATTTATCATTTACAGAAAATATTTATATATTAATACATTTGAAACAACAGTATTTTCTGTAAAATGTTAATTTTAGGAGAAATTTAATGATTTATGAGAATTTTTAATGCAATATAATTTAACCAAATACTTCTTAGATTTATATACCTGTATGTGTACAGTAATTACAGAGTATAGACACATGTATGTACTGTACATATATACAAATTGTTCAGTAATTTATATAGTATAAATATGTATATAGTAAACAATAACCCAATATATTCATATTAACTAACAATCTGCCACATCATCAATCAGTCTATTTACTATCTAATTAGTTATTAGAGGTAGGCACTTAAGCAATCATCTCTCAATAAATTTTTAATAATTAGAATATTCTATAAGAAAAGCAGCTGGAGTGTGATTTGAATCTGCAACTTATGCTTACCATGCAGATGCACTCGGGACATTCAAATTTTCAATGCCGACTCAGCTCTGATCTCAACGTTCGTTAAAATTCGTTCCTTTTTTCAACGTTCAGGTAGCGCTGTTGTCAGCGCTGACTCAACACACTCGGCACTCAACAGATATGTTCACTGCTACTTTCCAATGAATTGTGGGTAATTGGTAAGACATTTGAATGGAATCCATCTTGCTGAGAATGGAATTATGGGAACTAAAGCACTTCGTACTCGAGTTGGAATGTCGTTGATGACGTCAAATTGTTGACTTCAACACACAACACACGCGTTGAAAATTGGAATGTCCCGATTGCGAGTTATGCTACCTAACCTCTGTTCAACTTCTCTTCCAGAGCTATTAATAAATTCAGATATAGCCATACTGGTCACTCTTTAGATCAGGGTTGTCCAACACCCATTAGAATTTTAATACGGTAGAAGAAAAAGCCTCTACTGAACTAAAATTCTAATGGGCCAAATTAGAAATTTACGTATAATCACTGGACCAATTTATATATTTTTTTTTAAAGTTCAAAATGCGATTTAATAACAAATATACAGTAGAGCAACGATTATCCAAAATAATTTGGGACTGGGGTTGTTTGGATAACTGATCATGTATGAAAAAATATATTAACCTATCCCCTGTTAAAATTTTTCTCTGTTGCATGTTGCTTTGCATTGGATTTTTGTCTCCGTTAAGCCAAATGAAAATTTTTTTAAATAATAATTGTGGCTATTGTATCATTAAAAATTATTTTTTTATTTTGCACAAACAAAATAAATATATTGAAAAATATAAAAACAAAAAAAATTATATTTCAGAAGTTAATCTAGTATCAAAAACACTTTGATTCAGCATGACACATGTCCCATCACACAGTCACACAGTCCTCAGAAAAACACTACACAAAACAAGCAAAACTCTTTCTTTTTCTTGGGTTTATCTGGAGATGTCAGCCACTTGGGCTATATTATTCTCTGACAAGCTGAAGCAAAACACATCACTCATGATGCAAGGTCCTAGAACAGCGTTTCTCAAAGTGGGCGATAACGCCCCCTTGTGGGCGCTGGAGGCTTTCAGTGGGGCAGTAGAAGGCTCAAAGAAAATTGGGGGGCGTTAAGGAAATATAGAGGGGCGACGGCAGACAAATTCTATATATAAAAATTCAACGGAATATATATAAAATGTTGACATTTTATATATTTTTTATTTTTTATTGAAGGTCACAACTTGAATATTTCTAACACATTGACTTTTATTTTAGCTCAGCGTTTCTCAAAGTAAGCAATAACGCCCCCTTCTGGCGCGATGAATAGATCTATGATAGAGGCAGGGTATTGAACGGTGACCAAAGGCAAAATTGGGGCTGATAAGAGGAAACATTGCGTTTAATGGTTTCCAGATGATGAGAACAATGTACAGTAAGGGCACAAAGTGTGAGATTCATAGAAAAGTTTTCCTAAGAATATTTCCAATCCTTTTCTCACACAAGAGAAAATGGGTTAGGGGGCGTTGGGTATAACTTTATGGAACAAAGGGGGCGGTGGATCGAAAAAGTTTGAGAATCACTGTCCTAGAATATAGCTCACAATGGGAAAAAAAGCCTCGTTCAAGTACTGGTGTGTCCTTAAGTACTCTCTTGACATGTATGAATTGTAACATTTTTGGTACTAGATTAACTTCTGAAATATAAATTTTTTTTGTTTTTATATTTTTCACTATATTTATTTTGTTTGTGCAGCATAAAGAAATAATTTTTAACAATACAATATGGTTATGCCAGTGCTGCCAGCTAAAACACACACATGACAAACAAAAATAATATTGGAGTAGCCCAAGACATAGCTAAATATTGCAGCACCACAGCACTAGCAGAAATTTGAATTTTCTGACTGGAACACTTTTAGTTAACCAATGTTTTGATTGATAGATATTCGGCTATACTGTAATTACAAAAAATATTATATTATTTATTGACAGTAAAAAAAGAAATTATACTTGCACAAAATAAAAATAAATTTAATGCAATTTTTGACATTGCCTTTCTTTTATAATATTGTCAACATCTGCTTTTATGATACTAGTCTTAATTGTAAGAATGTTAGTTAAATGGGAATCACTCAACCTATTTCTTTCAGCAGTTTTGATGTTTTTCATGCATGAAAAGAATTGTTCACAACAGTATGTACTACCCCACATGCATAACAGTTTTCTAGATAAAACAATTTTTTAGTAGCAGCAATTACATCATTATGACATAAAAGTGTATCCAGTGAAACGAGAATAATTTCTACAACATATTTTACCAAAATAAATAAAAATGTACCTAAAAAATTTAGGGTGCAGTGGGCCACAGGTTGGACATCCCTGCTTTAGATTGTTAAAAAAATTTCTCAATGTTTTTTAATATACAGAAAATAGAAATTTATGATGTAACAAAAAATATTTTAAATGTACTAGTTTCAACGTTTCAGTTTACCTAATATATCTAGTCAAATTGATTTTTCCGCGACCAAAAAAATAATTTTTTTACTTCATTGCAGAGTTAATCACTCAAATATTTTAACTGCAGCTTGATACCATATATAGTACAAAGTGTCTGGAAAGTTGTTGTGCAGGTTATTCATTTTGTTATTGCTGTTCATTTGCATTGATACATGTTAATGTACAGTGTGTCCCAAATTAAACTTGACATTTTCCAGCAGGCTACAGCAAAAACTATTCATCAGAAATTTATGAAAGTTTGGGAATGCCTTAATGAGATGATGAGAATTTTTTTCTAGAGCAAAAGAGGCTAGTTTAAAAAATTACCACTAGAGGGTGCTTTTCAAACAAATAGTGGAATATTAGCCTGCAAGATCACCAAACTTGAATCTAATGCAATATTTGTCTCTCTATCTCAAAAACTTTTTCTTTGAGATAGCCTACAGCCATACACTGTTTAGAGGACCTCTAAACGGTGGCCAAAAACTTAAAACTTTACAGTTATTTGCAATTTACACCTATATGCAATTTACAATTGCATATAGGTGTTAGTTTCATTGAAGTGTGATTTGTAATTCAATTTCATGCTTAATGTCAAAAAAGTAAGCAGACTAGGATTTTTATTTCTGCTTGCTATTTCCAGGATTATATTTTTACTGCCAAGTGGTGATTTTGTAGAGCTACCCCTGTATATATATAAAATTCTGATTTTAACATGATAGACAATGCAATGATTGTATCTATTTCACTTTAAAGTTTTAGCATTGATAGCTATATTGTTGGTTTTATGTTGCTTGTGATATAATTGAGTCAAAAGATTGTTATATCAAATTCTGTCTACATTTTCTATTTCTAGTGTAATTATGGAATGTTGGTAACCTAAATAATATTATTGGTTTTATATTTTGAATAATTTTATTTTATGATAGGAATTGAAAGATGTAAAACTTGCAATTTTGACTTGTCCCTTTGAACCTCCAAAACCCAAAACCAAACATAAGTTGGATGTCACTTCTGTTGAAGATTATCGTTTATTGAGAAAATATGAACAAGAGAAATTTGAAGAAATGGTTGATCAGGTGATTAAAAATCTTTTATTATTTTAATATTTATATATTACAAAAGTAAGATACAATCTTTTATAGCAATTTAAAAAATTAAATTAACCATTTGAAAGTACATAGTTTAAGCTATTTTTCTACATAGTTGCAATTTTTTTCTGAACACTTTTCTCAGTGAGAGACAATGGCAAAAATTCCTTCCTAAAAAAATACTCTACTTAATGATTTGAACAAATCTATGACTTCATCTGAGAAGTGTTTCCTAAGAGGTCCAAAAAGGTAAAAATCAGAGGGTTCTAAGTCCAAACTATGTACAGGATCGTTCATCACTTTCCATCATACTTTTTTTAGCCAGTTTGAAATCTGATATCCAGTATCATTAGGAGAGTTAGTTGCATCATTATGCAGCAGGCATATAATGGTCAAGATGGCAATGCTAGTTGCCATCACACAAGAGCAGTAAAAGATTTGCTACAAGTAAAACAAATCAGGTGTTTAAAGTGGCCTGCCTGCCAATAGTCCAGATATAAATTCTATCAAAAGCTGTTGGTGAAAATTAAAAAAACTTGTCACTTCAAGATGTTAAAGTAAGGAGGAATTGAATGCAGTAATTAAAGCAAATTGGCAAGAAATTGATAAGATTACTGCTAAAACTTTATACAGTCAATCCCAAAATGTATAATAGCTGTTATACATAAAAAAGATTGTCCTTCAAAATTGTAAGTATTATTTATTGAATAAGGTTGAAAAATTATGTTTCGAATGGCACAATCTTATATTTTGTCTTCAAGGTGGAGACAAAAACTTCCTGTTAAATTTTTATTTCTTGTACAAAAAACTTTATTCTTATGGAAATAATTTCTTTAGTGTTTGTACTTAACTTATCTTAAAAATAAATTTTATTTATGGCATATATCTTTTCAATTTTAAGTAAAAAAATATATATACAGTAGAGTGTCGATTTTCCGAAAGTCAATCATCCGAAAGAATTCCAGTCGGCAAACTTAAATTTTCGTCAGTGCTGTGGCGCTTCAATCTTTGGCTATGTCTTGGGCTACTCAAATATTTTACATTTTTATACTAAATTAACTTTTGAAGTATAATTTTTTATCATTTTTATATTTTTCAATATATTTATTTGTTTGTACAAAATAAAAAAAATAATTTTTAACAATACAATAGTCTTCGTTAGGCTTAACATCGACGAAAATTCAACGCGAAGCGACAGGCAACGGAGAAAATTTTCGACATCGGATACGTTAAACTATTTTTTCGTACGTAAATCAGTTATCCGGACAACCCCAGTCCTCAATTGATTCGGAAAATCGACGCTCTACTGTATATATATAATTCACAAAACTTCGGAGACAATCTTTCTTTTGAGGCTACTGCCTCCCCTCTATCTGTTTTACATTCTTTTGCGGAGGCAGTAGCCTCAAGAGAAAGGTTGTCTCTGAAGTTTTGTGAATTATTGAAGGACTGCTGATGGTGTGAACGGCAAAAAGAAAGGACAAAATGCAAAGTTTTATCTTTGTAAAGTCGAATTTATATTTACTATATTTACTTTTCAATTTTGTTGTTTATAGCTGTTGTGCTAAGTTATATTCCAGCTGATTGGAAAATTATGTCAAGGGGTTGTATAATTCAAAGTTTCATTTTCAATTGCAGATAATTTATAAGTAATTGATATGTAAGCATACTGATTTTGCTTATAAATTAAGATATTAACATAGGCATTTTAAAGATATTTTCAGTGTGAAAAATTATTTTAATATATATGCATGCAATTTTTTTTACATTTATCATTTATTGTTTTTTATGATTCCATTTTATAAAGTGCATTTAATAAACTGCTGTTTATTTCTTGTGTTTATGGTTCATAATAAAAGAATTTTAGAAAATTTTTCTTTTTGGAATTTAGACATTTTCAAAATCATTAATTGACATGCATCAAACTGTGATTGAATAGAATAATTTATAAAAATGTTTTTTTACATTTCTAATGTAAAATGCTATCATTGGTTGCTTTCAATAATTACTGTTAGAATTGAACAGGAATCATGTCATCTCTAATATCTTATTTTTACAAAGATTTTTTTTTTTTTTGTGTTGGCTCCAAGAGGGCTTTTTAAACATACCCATCATGACTGGCCAGGTCTATGTGGGAGCTAACAGGAAGATGAGGGGTAGGATCCAACATATCCAGGACAGACTTTCCATGAAAAATTCTAGGAGCTGCTTTCCAGTTTTGATCCCAGGTTTCCCACAGCAGTAGATTAACATCTTAACTGCCTCAGCTACAGCCATCTGGCCATTCATATAGATATTTGTATGAATATGATTATTTAAATATATACTTTAGGAATGTTTGTGTATAGTATCTAATCCACCATAAATGTTATTTTGTTACCTAATGGGAGGATCAGTATCCATATGAATTAAGTTAAGGAAATAATAATGTAGGCTGATGAATGTCATAAGAAAATCAAGAAATAACAGAATTTGTATTTTGGACTTCACTAGCAAAGTGCAGATAGTTCACTGATAATGACTTAGATACTATACATCATGTATCATAGCCTTCATAATATAATTGTCTTGGCTTTAATCTGAAAAGTATGATATATGTTCTACAAAATGTTGTAATGAAAATTGTGTTTCTGTAATTATGTGGTTAGAATAATAGAGAAATTAAATTCATGTCATGAAAATTAGTATGAACTTACATAATGTAATCTTTATGTGTATAAAGTGAATAAAGTTAGTTTCTCACTATAATTGAAACAAAAATTTTTTGACAGCATGCATGTTTTAAGCTAGAAAACATGAAATAATCTTTGTTTGCCCTATAATTCCTCAAAATATCATAGATAAATACTTATAAAAGTAGTTTTTTATGAAGAAAAATAAACTTTGAATATAACTTATATATGTTATTTCAGCTATAAAGACTGAATACACTTGTTATTGCTATTACTGTTTTTATTCACCAATTTTAGAATCACTTCTTTCTTATGGAATAAAGTTATGCTTCCTAGAAATTTCATAAATTAATTATTAGCAATAATTATTTTTATTGTGACTCTAAAATATATTATTTAATAATCCATTTCTTTTATTAAAATAAATATCTTCTCTTTCAGGTTAAAAATACAGGTGCTAATTTGGCTATATGTCAGTGGGGATTTGATGATGAAGCTAATCATCTGCTACTTCAGAAAGAACTGCCTGCTGTCCGTTGGGTTGGAGGACCTGAAATTGAGGTTTGTCACAAAAAAATAAGAAATTATAAAGTGTTAAGTTTGTTTTTAATGAATAATAGTAAATTGGAATGGAAAATTTTTAAAATCTTCATACTTAGAAGACAAGACACAGACAAATAAATTAGAAAGTCTTTACAAAAGGCTCTGTGATTTTATTCTTGTAGTGCTTTTTTTTTAAATACCACAGGAATGAAATTATACACAAAGCAGTAAATCTCCTTTTAAGGCTTTTCCCTTCCTTAAAAGAGTGATTAACTCCACTTTATATTGGTAAATTAAATACTCTATGTAAATTAAGCATTAAATGAACTAATACTTGTGGATTAAATATATCTTCAATTTTCATAAATGAAGTACATATTTAACTTTTTTAAATAAAAAAAGAAAATTTAATGAACAAAGGTAAAGATAGCAAATAAATAATTCTTATTATTATATCATATTATGGCAGAGCCTGGTGGTGCTGGATGGTCCAAGTCTGACTTAAAAAGGTAAAGGGAAAGATTGGGAGCAGAAGAGTATCTGATCATAAAATAATGCCAAATAAAAAACAAGCAATCACCCCACAGAAATGGACTAATATTGCTAAAAGAGGAGGAGGAAATTATGGCAAATTGATAAATTATATTGCATTATGATAATTTTCATTTTAATATAATGATATGATTAGATAAAACATAATAGCTGATAATGTCAAAAATATTAAATATTAACACTATCATTTATTAGCACAACTATATGTGAATGAATCTTTTGATTAAACAAGATTCATAAATTAATAAAATTTCTTTGTTTTTAGTTAATAGCAATTGCAACAGGAGGAAGAATTGTTCCTCGTTTTAGTGAGTTGACTCCTGATAAGTTAGGAAAAGCAGGAAGAGTCAGAGAATTGACTTTTGGAACTACAAAAGATCGAATGTTGGTGATTGAAGAATGTCAAAATTCTCGTGCTGTGACTATTTTTATTCGTGGTGGGAATAAAATGGTAAGTGTACAGAAAGAAAAAAATATATGTATAAAATTGAAATGAATTGAAGTGTTTCATTATGATTAAGAAATCAAAGGGAAAAATACTCCAATTAAAAAGTTGTCAATTTTCTCTGTTTTTGGTTCATTTCTCTAAATAGTTTCTTATATGAAAGTTAGAGCAAATATAAACTATTTTAAAAATTTACATATGTGAAATTCCTTTTTGAAAGTTAATAGAAAACTTTATAATGTTATAAAAAAAAAATTAGCAAATTTTATAATGGCTGAATTTTTTCCTGTAAATAAATTTTGTTAAAGGTATCAAAGGATGATAACTTCAGTCATCTATATATATAAAAATGAATGTATGTCTGTCTGTCCTTCATGCATTACTACACCATTTATCTGATTGCCATGAAACTTTGGGAAGTTGTTTAATACACTCCCACAAAGGTTTCTGGCATAGTACATTTATGCTACGATAGGTGACACGCGTGTATATTTCATATATAAAGTCAACATGAAGAGCGCATGTGCATAAGTTTGCTTTATTCAAACTCTTTGTCTTAATGTTTGATTTTATGTTTGAATTTATATTTATGAATGATTCTAGAAGATTGTTTTTCGAATCTAGTAAACCTGAAGAAGAACCCAAAAAGAGTTATAAAACATTTATTCATCACTTAGTGGTACTTTTTTTTTTTTTTACTCTTTCCACCCTGTGGGTACTAAGAGGGCCTCTTATAGCAGGCCCATTATGGGTTCGGTCGGGCCCACAATGGGGTGACTGGGTGATGAGGGACAGGGCCCAACATATCCGAACAGACCCCCAAAAAATTCCTGGGGATTCATTGACCTGTCCAGATTCGATCCCGAGTCCCCCAGAGCGGTAGGCTACCACCTTGACCTCTCGGCCATCTGGCCTCACTTAGTGGTACTATGCACTGGTTAGTGGTTGCAGTGAGTCTTAATTATTGTTATCCCAGTGTGGTAAGCAGATATCTAAAAATTTTCTAATTAGTCTCAGAAGAGGGGGAACATTCTTGCACTAGATAAAATGGGTAAGATCGGCTATAATCTAATAATCTTAATCTTCGCTATCAATACTTTTTCCCCAGCAATGCCGGACTCATCTGCTAGTCTTATTCTTATAAAACAAAATTTTTGAAATGTTAAAATGTCAATAAAAATCTTTTAAGATAGCATTAGAGAATTGCATTTGTTAGCATTAAATTTATTTTCAACAATGTGTTTAGTCTATATTTATTAAAAATTATTTTAGTTAAAATATTAAATATAATTTATTATAAAGTATTTTTTTAACATTTGCTAATTGATTTTTACATAAACATCAAAAGCCCAGATTATTAACAAGCAAAAACTGCCAACTTTTCTATAGTTAAATTTCTGTACTAATTAATTAGTATATTCAGTCTTTTAGTATACAAAAGCATCACATGCCTTATGGTGAATTATTTTTACTTACGAAATAATAAATTTATTATTTGTTAAATACTTTATTGTTAAGTATAATCATAAACTGAATTACTGTATGCTTTCATTCAATATACCGACACTTTGTTCAGTTTTGACAAAATTGATTTAAAATTTAGTAAATAACAATTTCTATTTGTTTCTAAAGTATTTGTACTTGTTAGTTTTGTTAAATTGATCAGTAAATTAGACACATTTACTTAGTGCAAATTAATATATTTCAATTATTTCTCTGGTACAATATGAATTTGTACTAGAGAAATAAATGAAAATGTCATCTACAATTTCTAGCTCAGTATTTCTGTTTATATTGTATTTTATGAAAATAATTATTTTTCATTCAGGTTTATTTGGAAATGGTTCTGAGAGGGATGTAGAAGACTAATAATAATATCAAATGGGGAATCTGCATGGTATTATTTTGCTTGGCATTTTATATATTTTTTTGAAAATGTAACTAGAAAACTGATTTGATTCTTATGGAAAATGTATTTTGAATAAAAAATATACTTTATATAATCAATTTCAACCATTGCTCTAATTTTCATGAAAATCTGTATTTAATTAAGTTCAGAATAGTGATAAATCACTGTTTGAGATTTTTAAATAGTAAAGATTAATACTAATATAATTAACAAAATATATGGTATGCATGTGATTAACATGTTAATCATACAACAGAACTATAATTTATATTTAATATATCTTATGTGAAAAAACTTTGGATATTCTCAAGTTTTAATTTACTATAATACAAATTGAATAATGTAAATATTTATAATATTTTCCAGATTGTAGAAGAAGCAAAGAGAAGCCTTCATGATGCACTTTGTGTAATAAGAAATTTAGTGAAGGATAACCATATTGTTTATGGTGGAGGGGCTGCTGAAATAGCTTGTGCCTTAGCTGTTAGTCAAGAGGCAGATAAAGTATGTGCTTTTAATAATTTCACAATTCTTTGGGATTATCATATATATACAGCCTTTTTTTCCCTTATTTTTTAGAGCCAAAATGCATTTTGGACTTTCATTCCTCCTCAGTTGGCATTTTACAAATATATTAAAAACACCTAAAAACTGAATTTTACATCTTGTACAATTATAACATTTTCTTGCTGGTAATTTTCTTTAAAACTACCTTCAACATTATGTATAATTTAACACAATTAAAATTCAGTTAAAATTTATAACTAGTTGAACTTTTCATTTCACTCTTTTATTCTTGGTTTCTAAAAGCTATTTAAAAGTAAACAAGTAAAAAAAGTAATTAAAATTATATTTAAACTAACTTTCATTTAACATACAACTTACTTTTTGCTAATATTCATTTTATCCAACTTTGTTTTTAAATAATGAGATATTTTTTAGTGCCAAAATGCATTTTGGCATTAAAAAATAAGCAAAAAAGGCTGTATGTTTATGACAAGCCAAAAGGATTATGAGATTACAATTTTATATTTACACCATTAATAATCTAAACTGAAAATAAAAATATTTATGGGCTAGAAGCAATACACAAGATATATTTTTTTATTGAATTTCATCTCTTGTTCACTTTCCTTCTGTCAAATAGCTTGTTGTGATACTTGCCTTGTGTGGATCAGCCATCTAAGATAGTACTTGATAATACATCTTCTGGTTGTACAAAACTAATGATTGGCAAAACATAGTCTGCACATGATACTCTGCTTTGTATTTATACTATGATTGACTATATTATCATTATACACTCGGTGACTGTTACAAGAAATGTTAGGCAAAGCTACAGCATACAGTAGAGTTCCCGCTAGTCCAAACGTCCGCCTAATCCGAACATGTTTCAGTCGGTGGAGAGAAAATTTTTTAGCTCACAAAATATATGTTTTTTATATTTTTCAGTTGAATTTAAATGGTAAGACAAAGATTTAAAATTTCACAACAAAAAAAAATTGTATTTTATTGTAGTACTGTATTAATGCTGTACAAAATTAATAAATCAGTGTTTGACATGGCCTATTAAAACAACAGATCTATACTGTACTTACACACAAAAACAGAACCAAAAGTCATTGATGGTGTTGGATCTATATAAACCGGACCTGTTTTACTGCTTGTTTCTGCATTATTTCAATTCGCGTTTTTCACCGGATGCTCGCCCTCTGGTGTTTAAAAACAGAACTACTCTATCTGGGTCGTTTGAATGTTCTTCGTATATTGTCAACAGTAGAGATGAATAGTAAAAGTAAAAGTAAAGCTTTCTGTTGTGTTCCAAATTGTAATTCCAAAGCCATACGCGATCCCAATATAAGTTTTCATGTATTCTCATATGAAAAACAGATGATTTTTCGTAAATCAGAATTCGGAGAATCTCAGAAATGTAACCGACGGAAAGAGTGGATTCGACTGCTAAGAATTGGCAAAAAAGTTACGAAGTATATGGTAGTATGTTCGAAACATTTTACTCCTGAAGATTATATTTTGTCATGTATGCTATCATGTTTTTATAAATATGTTTAGATTATTGTAATTCGATAGTATTAAAAAATCAAACTGAAAAAGATTGCATAGAGTCTAAGTATAAAGTAATTTAGTATTTGTATTCGTTTTTAACCTATACTATAGGATTATCTTCAATAAAATGTAATTCTATTCAATTTTATATGATATGTCGATAAACTTTAAAATTCCAGTAATTTTGTGTGGGATAGAAGTCAATGCTGATGTTTGCAGACAAAGAGCACAAAAATGTACAGAACGATCTTGCTCGTTTTTCTCGATAATACCACATAAAATGACGTGTCCTGCTAGTAATACTTGTTCTCCTTCTATAAAATTTCTCAATGAACTGCTACAAGTAGCATATTTCATTATATTGATATTTCATTATAGTAAAATGAATTATATATTACTATCTGTAGTAATATATAATTCATTTTACATTGACGACTAACAAACGACCCAGATAGAGTAGCCATTTTGTAAAAATACAGCGCCCTCTATAGTTCATGAAAAACACGAATTATTCGGCTAATCTGAACAAGGCTCAGTCCAATTAGTTCGGACTAGCGGGATTCTACTTGTACTGCTAATCTTGCTGTCACCAGAGCCTCATCAGTGATCCCTTACAGTTGGAGTGCTTTTGATTCTTATTTCTCTTCATGTTTTTCTTCAGACTAAGATGGGAGAAGCTTTTCTCAGATACACATGTAATTAACTATGCTTTAGGTGTCATTTGTAGATCGTTTTTTTTTTTTTTTTATGTTGAAGGACATCTTTTTTATGAATTGTAGTGAAATGCTTATGCTGTTTAATATTGTAAAAAGAAACTGGAAAACCACAAGACTGAATCAGATGACTATGCTTAAACTTAAAGTTGAAAGAACTATGAAATCATTTAAAGGGGTCAACTTTTTAATGTGGTAAAAAATTTCTTAAGATCATTCTGTTCCATCACTAGGATTGTAAAGCAGTTAAACATTTGGATCTGATGATGGGACAGAAGATCCCAAAAAGTGCTTTATTGCATTTAAAAGTTGACTCCTTTAAATGATTTATAATTATTTTTGTTTCAAGAAACTTGAAAAAAGTTAAGTGTGTTCCATTTGGTTGTTTGATATTATGTAGTGACTTTCAAGAGGATTTTAGTGGATTAATTTTGTTGTGATTCAATCTTTTTTATGATGGAATTTTATTTATTATTCACATTTGAAACATGATTATAAATGCAGCTGTTGAAGATATTTATTATTATTGTCTGCTTGTACAATTTTGAGTTATATTTTCTTAATAAGATTATTCATATTGTCTCTGATAGTCAAGCTGCATTGAAAACACTCCATGGGATGGCCAAAATTAACATTTCAAAATTTTAAAACTAAATTATAAATAAGATATTTATTAATTAAAAATATGACTACATTAACATTAATATTAAATGTTGTATTTGAATTATTTTAAAATTTAAACATGAATTTTTACTTTTAGATATCAACTTTGGAACAGTATGCATTTAGAGCATTTGCTGATGCATTAGAAAGTATACCTTTGGCCTTAGCAGAAAATAGTGGGCAAGCCCCAATTCAGACATTAACTGAAGTTCAAGCTAGACAAATAAAGGAAAATAATCCTTGGTTAGGAATAGACTGTCTGAATAAGGGAACAAATGGTAAGTAAATAGCAAAAACAAAAATCATTGATCATATTTTCTTTTTTAATAATTATCTTGTTTTAAATTCAACACATTTAAAACAATCTAAAGCATATTTTATCAAATTGTAATATTAAACATAATGAGCTTTATGCTAACATTAGAATATTGTGGAATAAGATAGCATGTTATTATTAAATAGAACTTCTAATTTATTATAGAATACTGAGAATTTATAAATTTGCTTTGCTACTGTTATACACATGATAATGGAAAAAAATAAATTTTTATGAGTGCTTATATTGTTAAATATAATATCCAAAAGTATGGACTTCTAAAATTAAAAGAAAAAAATATTTGTACTCAATGAAAAATAAGTGTTTCATTTAGATGCCTCTTTATTATTTAACAGCTAAATGTGTTTATTAGTAAGCAAAGAATACAATGAAATTAAGTGTTATTTTTAATTTAAATTTGAAATAATAGGTTTTTAGAATATTAATAAATTTTCATATATACAGATAAATGTTGTTTCAATTAATATATTGGAAGTAAAAATAAAGATTATGATCATTCTATAAAAATAGAATGTATCAATATTCTTGTGAGAGTTAATATGTAATGAAATTTTAAAATTAATTTCTTATATAATAATTTTCCTTTTGAAAATTACATTAAAATAAACTTCAGTTAATTTATAACATATTATGATTATGCAAGTAATTTTTGTGATAAATTCACTATTGTGATTATAATTGAAAAGTAAAGATTGTATTTTTGCTTATTAAAAAATTTGTAGCTGGACATCTGCAGTCCCATTGTAATTCTGTTTGCTTGAACATTCTCTATCCTCTTTCTTTTATTCTCATTCTAGATAGAAGTTAGAAAAATATCATACAATTTTCAGTTTTTTGTATCTAAATATTTATTTTAAGAAAGTTGTACAATTTTTTATCCAAACATATTACATAAGAAAGAAAAGTTAACTATTTTTTAGTGAACATATCTAGTAAATTACAGTATTTGTCAATTTTCTAATTGCTTGTTTTCATTGCTCAAAACAACTAGAGGTTGATTTAAACAAAATCATGTAAATGAAATATTTATAATTTTTTCATCATATATAGTGTACTCCTGTACAATGCACAGGATATATACAAACATCGCTAAACCCGATATACAATATAGCTACACACCAACAGAATGCTGAAAATCTATTGGGCTAGTTTAAGGCTAATTACTAAATAAATTACGTAACCAATTGGCTCTAGAGGTAAGCGTTAGGCGCCATCTCTTATTAACATTAATAATTATAAATAAATAAATTAATTTAAATAGTTGTGGGTTCGAGTCCCACTCTGGGCCGATTTTTTCTCCCAGCGGTTCTAAATTATTTAAATTAATTAATTTATTTATAATTATTAATGTTAATAAGAGATGGCGCCTAACGCTTACCTCTAGAGCCAAATTGGTTACGTAATTTATTTAGTAATTAGCCTTAAACTAGCCCGATAGATTTTCAGCATTCTGTTGGTGTGTTGCACAGGATATATTCCACATTATACAAGATATGTATTATCTGACGATTTTATACAAGTTTAAACTTGTCTGAGTTTCAGCACAAATTTGCATATTGCTAATGAGATGTGTGTTATTTTCAAATATGATTTTATTGTGTGCCGAGTATTAATTAACTTGTTTTAAAGAAACTTTCTTTTAATGAAGAAAAAACAAAATACAGGTAATAAATTTTTAAAAATATATACACTATTATTATAAATTATAAGAAGCATTTGCTGTTTTAGCCATGTGTATTGAAACAATCAAAAATATACCCGAGAAGTTGAAAAAATCTCTCTCTCTAGATGACAAAATTAGAATTTTGTATGAGTACTAGTTGCACTTTTTTTTTACCATGTTATATGGGAGTTCATATAATTAATTATCATGTAATAATGAATAGTGATTATTAAATTATTGTTAATCATTAAAGTTGCATATTTTAAAAAAATATATTTGTTCTTTAAACAAATTAAAATGTTTATATTTTCTTGATATCTTGTTAATACATATATTTCTTTACAGACATGAAAGAGCAGCATGTCATTGAGACTTTGACAAGTAAAAAACAACAAATCAGTTTGGCTACCCAACTAGTGAAGATGATTCTCAAAATAGATGACATTCGTTCACCTGATAATTCGCCATTCTAATTTTTGTAAATCTCTAGGCATTTTGCTATTCTTTGTTTATTTTAAAATCACTATATTGGAATTAATGTTTCTTTTTTAAAAGACAAAGCTTATAACAGGTTAAATGTGCAAATTAATTTATATATTTTGGTTTAAAAAAATATATAAAAAAGAAACTTGTTTTTATATGATTTATATAATGTACTTGTTCCTTTCAGTTATATAAATCTGTTGCTTAAATAATTCAGTGAGTGAAACAGCATTTGTTAATAATCCATTTTTAACTTGGATTTCAATAGAAAATGGCAATATAAATGAATCAGTTAATAAAGTGTATCACAGAATCAAAACACAAGTTATTTTTCTTGAAGTCATTTATTAAAAACTCAGAAAATATTGCCTTATTAGTGAAATGGATTAAAATATTCAGATCTTTAAATATGATGATTAGAAATTAATGAACTATAATTTTAAAAATGTACAGGATCTTTCTAAAACAAAATTACAATAATTTAAAATTTTTGCAATTTTAATTATTATCCAAGAACATTGTAATATTCATTAAAACATGGAAAACTGTCTAAGTTTTATGTTTGCCCATTACAATTTTTCATTGTGTGCACCATGTCACATCACATGCATCTAACCAATACACTCAGGTCATTCCTGGAAAAGATTGGACAGCTGCAGACCATTTATTACATGCAAAATCTCAATTAATAAGGGTAGCAATATTGTGTTTTGCATCTGGGAAGACCAAACAACCAGGAATTGACCTGGATACTCAAACTTCATGTTTTCACTAAAGCATATCTGTTGTCACTCTGCCCGAGCAGTCACAATTTCACAACTATAAATGGCTCATGCCGTGCAATGGCAAGTGATTCATACTCTGCAAACTGCAGAACACAAGACACCTTTATTGTGGAGTTTCCATTTTTATTTACGGCTCTTGCTATCAGTAATAGACAACAAGACCTTCAAATGCAGATGTGAGATAAAACTCAACAGTTACTACAGTATATGGGTTGTGTACTTCTCAGATACTGATTACGTTAATTTAAAATTACATTTTACAGTTACATTTTATGCATGACTAAGGTCACAAATCGGGTAAGTAATCCTGCATAAATTAAGATACTGTACATTCACGCTTGCTGAAATCGTAGGTTATCAAGCAAGACAGCCCCTAATCATTTTCTTTCGAGATGCGAAGAGTTTTCAACTTTGAGCTTGATGCAATCAAAAATCCGTCTTTGTCTCTCAGAAAAATTCTAGCGAATTCGGATCGAGCTAATGATGAGAATTTATAAATCAGAACCTTTATCGAGAATTGTGGTAATGTTACGCTTATTTCAGACAACGAAGGAATGCAAGCGGTATTCAGTTATTAGTATAAAACATACAGGAATAAATAATCCTTAAAAGTTTCTCTGATTGTTAAACCACAAAAATATAGACGATATAATGGATCCTTATAATTAAATTAGTATAATATAATTTTTACGTAATTAGAATCCGTAATGAAAAAATTAAAAAAGTAGAAAAAGATATGAACTTCAACTCGTCTTACAAGTTAGATTGAAAGGAAGCTGTACTGAAGCGATAATTTGTTTTTAGTACAGTAGTAGTAAGTAGTTTCATATTTTGCTTGATTTCTTGTTTTACATAGAGGTTACATCTCGTAACAAACCCTTTTGCAGCGAAACTAAAAAATTTTGCTACAAGGAAGTTGAAAATTGAGATTTTATCATTCCTGTTGCACAAAGCGTGGAAGTCAGATTACTGGATTGTCAACAACAAAAAAAAAGATTCGCCTTAAAGCAGGCAACAAAGATGAACCAAATTTTACATCATCGTTGAAAGGAGGACATTCCGGAAACAACGATTTCAGAGAGCTTTGACTGTGATGTGATTAGAAAAACAATCCATTGTTTTTATGTCGAAGAGAAGAAAATCCATCCCTAAATTACCGCTTGTCTTAAAAGAAAAGATCAATTTTTCTTGTAAGAAAATGACACGCCATTTAAAAGTTCTTTTTTTTCTTCCGAAAATAGTCCACTCCTATCTGAGAGAATACCACTCTTGTTTTATAAATAGAACGCATTTGTTCGCCCCAACCTAGTTGCATCGAAGGTCGCAACTAAGTTGGCAGGAGAATATATCTAAAGCCTGGACTCCACATTACCTGAAAACAGAAACTCAGAAACAGAACTGAAACATTAGAGTTTTCGTTTTAACTTGACTCCACTAGAAATGCGCCATCTGTTGGTCAGTTCTGTAATTGTAGTCAAACACGGACGACGCTACGGATTTTGCCATGCTTTCTCTGCATTTATTAACAATGAAATTGTAAATAATCTTTGAATTATTTACATTTTTTTAGTTAGAAAATACAGACATCTGTATTTTCTAACTACTTCGATGAAGAATTCTAAATCTATTTGTTTCCTCATCGTTTTCGCTATACTTTCCGCCATTACGATGATCAAACAGCACGTGACTGATGCACGTGACTACGCGTCACAAATCCTTACGTTTTATTGGTTGCAGTACGACAAGCGTGGAACGAAAACGGAAAAGTTAAATAATTTTTAACTCTGCTTTCGGTCTTGTTTCTGTCCAACTGAACGTTACAAAACTTAAAGTTTCGTCAGTTTGTCTTTCAGTTTTACGATTACGTCGCGGATTCCGGTAATGTGGAGTCCAGGCTTAAGCCAAGACTCCACTAGCGTAAAAACCCCTCGCCGTAAAAGCTGTTAATCACGTGGCCCTGATATCTTACGCTTGAGCAGGTCGTAAAAGCGAGTTGAGCAGTGTTCAACTTTAGACGCGAATACGGCCGTAAAAGGTACCATCCACCAATCAGAAGTCAGTTAAATCTAGGCCATTGTGACGCGGTGCGAAAATGGCGAAAAACGAGCTTTTGTGTACGTTCCCTCGTGGCTACTCTAGAATAGATCTGGAAAGATTTATCGAAAACATCCGAAAGTATTCGTGTATCTACGACAAGAAGTATCCCGATTATAATAAAGGATGAATCACGCGATACGGATGGCCAAAGGAAAATCCTTCAATTTAGAGGAGTATATAATGAAAAAAGCTAAGCTTAATAAGTGCTGTATATTATCTTAATTAATAATACGATAATAAAAGTTAATATATGAAAGTAAAGATATTATTTTTACTATATTTGTAATTATAGTACAGAAAAAACTCGTAGAATATAATCATTGTCTTTATATCGATACGTCATGTATACAACTGTCTTCCGTTTCCATTAATTCACGTGCGAAGAAATATTAATTTTCGACACTTGGGGCAGTACCGTCGCCGTAAAAACTTCGCTAGCCGGAACTCCACTGCAATCCAGAAACAAATGCAAATACGTCACGTAATTAAAAGTTTTTACAGCGAAGGTTTTTAAGCCCGTTTTTACGCTAGTGTAGTTAGTCCACTAGCGTAAAAATCCTTGCTATAATTATTTTAAATCACGTGGCCACGATATTTTAAACTCTAAAAGTCGGAAGTGGTTCTTATTTAGATGTTACAAACATGAAGAAAACCCAGAAAACTTTATGTGGCAAGCCTGTTGGAGAGGAACGAGTCCACGATCAAGTATCAGTTTTCAGTGGTTTCATCTACTTCGTTTTAGACAAAAAGATGGAATAAGTTTCGTTTCAAAAATAGGACCGAAATTGGGAGAATTAGAAATGATAGAAGCTGATAGAAGCAGATAATTTCATAACGAATATGAATGGAGTTAAATTGCGTTTAAGTATGTTGACGACTACCTGATAATATTCGATAGCNAGCATTTATCTTTCCATAAATGTGAACAAAGTAAAGAGATAAAAGATATATAATTATATTTAAAATATAGTATTTTCTTATTCTTTAGATAACTTTCAGAGTCATTTCATAAAATTTAATCCTTCTTAATCTTTCCATAATATTTTTATCAACAGTCGCTTCGACTTTTTTATTTTTACAGCATAATATCGTATTATACACCCAAGCGTCCATTTTGCTTTACACGTGTAGCGGACGTAAAAGCTGCTTTATCTTCGCTGCAGCAACCTCTTGCAGCAAACGTTTAGAAACGGTTCGCTACATTGCAGCGCTGCATTTAGAAACGGGTTTCAGAGGGTTCGCTGTAAAGCGCTTCTCGAGCGCTGCATAAAGAAACGCGGCCTTCACTGCATAAAGAAACGCGGGTTACAGAGTAGCTACGAAGTCCCTAAGATCCTTGTCGATTTTTAAATTTGTTCACGTATATTCTTTATTTTAAATTTAATGTTGCTTCGAGAATCTATGCATTTCCAAACACGTCTGTGATTTTTTTTTTTTTTACTTTTTTAAAACTGGAAACATGTAGAAATTTTGTTTCGATCGAGGCTGCCAGATTGGGCGCAGAAATGAAAATTTCTACGTGAATTTGGGCGACTTTTGGCTATTTCAGCACCAAGTTTCGGTGGTTTTTTGTATAGTATCTGGCAGTAATGGTATCGGCTGCGTTCTGCAAGTATTAAGCAGGGTGTTTTCGATTATTAGTACGTACAGCACATCTCGACGTAAGACCACCGCAGGACCTTTATTCGAAAGATAATGGGCCTTGGAAAATGAATAATCTTTAAGAAACTCTGTTAATCTTTAGTAAATCGTTTGCGTACGAAAATATCGGTAATCGATGATGTCGGAGATAATTCGACGGGACGAATATTCCCTACTGTCAAAGAGAATAAAAATCGAAGGAAAGTCTTTTCCGGACGAATTACACGAAATTGAATCGGAACAATGTCGGCAATTACTGTCTCTTCAGTTCTGTGAGTCCGTCCAGTATATATATAATCCGTTGGACTACGCGCAGCAAACGCATCGCATGTATCTTAGCAAGTATTGTTGTGGACCCAAGCGAATTCTTTTACTCGGGATGAATCCGGGACCATTTGGAATGGCTCAAAATGGAGTAAGAAATATCTTTCTTTCGTCCATAGAAATATATATATAAAGAAATTCAATTTGCTCTGGAAAATAAGTTCATTAAATAGAATCCGATTTCAATTGATATTTAAATACTATATTAATAAAAAAATGATTACTTTTTCTTTATGCCTCAAAGAGTTTTTGAATCGAAAAAGATAATGCATTTGTGTAATTACCTTCTTACGTTAAAATTATTAGTTTATTTATCATGGAACCTTATTGGAGCTGTAGATCGTACCTGTAATAAAAAATGTCAAAGGAACTGATGGTCTATGTGTGATCCTTTGTAAGATATATAGCCCTCTGAAATTGGCCTATCTGAAATTTCAAAGACCCTTGAAAATAGTGTAAAATTTAAAAGTGAAAAAATCCAGAACTGTTTTTCAAAACAATGCTAAAATTCCAATGTTTTTCATTTTCACTAGAGACTGTAAATGCTTGTAAAATGCAGGAAATGCTGTTGCACTGATTATTTCTGGGGTGCAGTCAGTCCTGATGCACCTCTGTTAAGCCTAACGTGTGTTTAACAAATAGCCCAGTTAGTATTTAGGTAGGCTATATCTTACAAAGGGTAACATGTAGACCATTGGTTCCTTTGACTTTTTTACCCGTGGGCATAGTCTACAGCTCTCATAAAGTATCAACTACATCATTCAGAGCTGCATTTTGACTGTGTGAATTAAGAATAAATAAATACAAAAAAAGAAAATATGGAAAAATTTGGATAATGATGATAATTAAATGTCATTATTAGGTTAGAACTTGAATAATTAAATATGAAAATATTGTCATTTGGAGCTAAGATAGAAAAGATTAAGTTGTCATCATTTAATTATTAAATTTAATAATTAGAATTTAATTAATTTAGAACATTCTGGAAGAAAAAATCAATCAGGAGCAGAACTTGAATATGCAATTCCTGCTTACCTTGCAGATGAATTGTCAATATACAAACCTGACCTCTGTCTTATTTTCACTTCAAGCCAATTAATTTAGAAGATATAATCATTCTGGTCATTCACCACACAAACTGGGGACAAATATGTGCTGACAGCCCTCTATGGTACTCAGCTGGCTTTTACTCCAGCATGATGTATAAATACAGTATAACCTCGATTATCCGGACTAATTGGGGATGAAGGTAGTCCGGATAAGGAAAAATCCGGATAATCGAAACAAATACTTTAATTTGTCTTTTAATGATAATACAACACACTTTCTTTTCGATGACATATCGGTAATATTAAAAATAAATACTATATTTAAATCGTGATCAAATTTTCAAGAAACAAATGTGTTATTGAATTTGGACTACTACTGACCAGCGCTAACAAACTAGCTATTGTTTAAAAGGCCCTCTGGTGGCTCAAGAAGACGGATTTTATAAAATAAAAAGCAGTTGAAACTGCATTTTTATGAATAAAAATTTGACAAACTATTTATCGTTTTATGACGAGTAAAAGTAAAATTTTTTCGTCGCGTTCTTGGCTTAAAAAAGTAATGCATAAACCTTCGAGGCGCGAGGCATAGGTGGTGGCCCACGTTGCCCATGCCTTACGCCACCCTTGGTCATAGAAATGATGTAATTTGAAAATAAAATTTTTTTATAAATGAGTATGTCAAGTTATATTTTTATTACGACGCAAAATATATTTAAGAGTTTACGGCCACTGTTCCGGGTAAGACGTTGTTGAAACAAAAAATGTTATGCATTCCATCACGTACATAAACAGTGTCGTAATTCGCCAAGTGCAAATCAGCAAATTCGTAAAATTTTTGTTTATTTTGAACAATCCGGATAATCGAGGTTCTACTGTATATATATAATTATGTAGAAAATCACACTCAAATTATTTATTAATAATCAAATGATAAGGCTAGATACATTATAGATACAACAAAGTTGTATCTATAATGTATCTAGCCTTATCATTTGTAATCCAGTATTATCATTTGATGATATAATTTGGGCTTGGTTTTATGTATAATTTGAATTTTGAAATTTTTTACATACAGTCAATACTGTTATTATGTTACTAGAAATTCTCCCGTCAAGCATGATGGAATATTTTTTATGAGAAAGTAGAGATTGAAGAATTGAGAAGAGCTTCAAGTTGAGCTTGATGATTTGATGCTGTTTCTGCAGCCCTTGATAAAGTCATTCTTATTTGATGTTGCTCAAGTCGACCTTCGGGGGTCTTGGTTGTTGTTATTCTTTTAGATCTAGAATTTACCTGATCAATTTTACTCTTATGCTTCCACTAGGAATTTTTTTTTCCCCATCAAAATAGTGAGTCTTTTTAATTATGTGTTGATAAAACAAAGATGAATTGTATGTATGTTAACTCTTTAAGCTCTGAAAACACACTCCATCTCTGTTGCTAATGTCTAAATTGTTTTTACCCCTCAGGCTACAAGAGGAACTTGTATAGCAAAACTAGTAGAACAACTTCTTAATCAGCTGATTTTGTGTTTAAAGAGTTAAAGAATGACAGTTGTTCATTAGATATACTCTATTGAGAAGAACAGCTGCTGCATAATAAATTAGAGATGCTACAGAATGTCATTGATAAATATCAATTACTACTGTGGATAGATGTTGACACAAAAAGTATCTGCTCAATGACCTCTTATGTCCATCATGTTCACACCAGAGAGTTGAGATTGAATTGGCACAGGACTAGATATTTTGAAGAAATGAATAGAATTCTAACTGTCCACAAAAAACCTTTGTCAGTGTTGTGTTCGTTACGGATATTCACTAACGTTTTCAACCTCCACCTCGCACCGACAATGCTTAGTCAGCACCTGAAGAAGACCTTGGTGGAGGTCGAAAACGTTAGTGAATATCCGTAATGAACATAACACTGACAAAGGTTTTTTGTGGACAGTTATTACTCAACACAGTGTTACAGTTAGAAGACATTTGTGAATAGAATTCTACAGCATTTAACTGTGATTCCAAAGTTAATTTTTTTATTTTGATAAGATTCAGTGTTTCTTTCTTACATTATATGTGGTGACTTTTGTTTGGAATTGATAAATATACATTAATGATTTTTCCTTATTGTTCCTGAAATGTTCTGATTGCTCTCAGACGAATCATCATTTCACAAACTGCTGGAATTATACTGCTTTTCCACTTTTGTTACAGCAATCTCATTATTGTCATCATCTGAGTAATCTTCATAATTATTGTACAAGGTATCTTTTTTTTTCTTTTTTATCACTTTCATACCTATCGCTCATTTTTTAAAATAACAGATTGTGAATTTGACTATCCATAAGATTAGAGTTCTCCAATTTTGCACCAAATGAATGACTTCAATAAACATCTCTGATAAGACAAATGGAACATCTTTTACTGGGTCAAATAGGGAAACCATGAAAACTGGTTGTCGTTTTCAACATCAACTCTAAATACTTTGTTACAGATATAAATACTCTTATATTTTGGATACATATGAACCCAAATTGGAGTGGGAAAAAGGTTTATGGGAAGGTTATATCTCTTGGAAATAGGAAAAATCACTGGTGAGGAAGTTGGAAAAAATACCAAAACCTGCTGCACTACCAGAGAAGGGATGAAAACTTGGCCTGTGCATTATTTGACTATGTGGAAAAAGCCAATCATAGCAAACAAGACACAACCTTCCTTACATCTTTGCAACATTAATTTTTATTTTTAAACTATATCTGAACATCTGATTTGTATTGAATGTGTTCAAAAATACAATAATGAAACTGTCAAAAAGTATCTTCTTGACAAGACATTTCCGGAAATAGTACATCAAAGAGTCATTATGATAAGGAAGAAGAAAGATTATATATATATCTATGTATAGATATATTTCTATTTATGTATAATAATAAATAAATAAGTAACACATTTTTTTCATGCTTTCAATGGAAGTCGAAATTTAATCAAAAATCACATAAAATATATTTTTAGAAAATATTGGGGTCAGTCTTGACCCAATAGTATTCAGTGTAACAATAAAAAAGTTGGTAATACAAGAGTTAATGAAGAATTCAGACTTAATTTAGGAAGTAATGATTGCAGAACAAGGGTTTGGAAAAAGCCAATCATAGCAAACAAGACACAACCTTCCTTACATCTTTGCAACAGCAATTTTTATTTTTAAACTATATCAAACAGAAAACTGAGTACTGTATTCTATTTGATATACAGTAGAGCGTCAATTATCCGAAAGAATTCCAGTCGGCAAATTTAAATTTTTGCCAGTGCTGTGGCACTGCAATCTTTAGCTATGTCTTGGGCTACTCAAATATTTTACGTTTTTGATACTAAATTAACTTCTGAAGTATAATTTTTTATATTTTTCAATATATTTATTTTGTTCATACAAAATAAAAAAAATAATTTTTAACGATACAATAGTCTTCGTTAGGCTTAACATGGACGAAAATTCAACGTGAAGTGACACGCAACGGAGAAAAATTTCAACTTAGGATAAATTAATATATTTTTTCGTACATAATCGGTTATCCGAAACATCGATCTTCCGAACAACCCCAGTCCCCAATTGATTCGGATAATCGACGCTCTACTGTAGTTTAAAGTCTGAAGCATGCCCCTAAATGAGGGCAAAATCGTTGGTGTTGTAATAAAAATTATTGCTGGAAAGAAGTAAGGAAGGTTGTTTCTTTTTTGCTATAAGAACATTCCAACTTCTGAGGAGTCTTTAAGACAGTCATGTAGTGGACATTGGCATTCAGAACAAATGCCAGAGATTATAGTATGGAATGAAATTTGACATAATGCTAGAATAACTCTAGTTAGTATTCATGATAAACTGAATGCTGTAGTTACGTTGATTAATTTTTACATCATATGCTATCCCTCAAATAACATCCAAAAACAATATTTCCTCCTGATAATGATATACAGTCAAATCTCAGTTATGAACTGAATTTGTTCTTAAAAGTTGTTTGGAAACCGATTTGTTCTCAATCTGAAACAAATTTTTCCATAAGAAACAATGTAAAATGGATTAATCCATTTCCAATCCCACAAAACAAAGTTTTTTTTAGCAGCATTTTATGCATAAAAATGTCTACAAATGCAATAAAATATTATCTATATCTATATTCATTTTATATATATCTCTTAAAAACAAAATGCTTTGTTGCTGCCAACCGAAACCAAAACTAAGAGTGTGATATGCAGACACAAATTTAGTAGCGAGCGAGAGGTTGTGAGCAATATAGTTCTCACAAAGAAAACATGCACAAGTGAGAAGTGAGAAAGCTCGCTGGCATGAGCGAATTTCTAGTTCTTGCACATATCTGACAGGGTTTGATATTTATTGCATCTTGCCACATACTCTCGCTCACTCACATCTGCATAGTTGCACCCTAACACTGTACAAAAAGTGCTATAAATAGAGATTTGACTCTTCCTGGATGAAATATAACCAAATCAACCAAGACAGACAAGTACTTTATCCACACTTTCTGAAATATTATGTTACAATTGCTTTGATTTAAATTAATTTTGATTTTATTTTTAATTTTAGTTTCAGTTTCAGTGTAAAAACCAGAATTTTAATTATTATTTTATTATTTTTAATTTTAATTAACTGGCCACCTAGTACTAATATTATATAATATATTAATAAATTTTTGTTATTTAATTTGAGTTAAGTACTTTAAATATGAATTATGGGATGTCATTTTTATTACATGAATGTCAACATAGTTTTTATTTATTAATTTAATTTAAATTAAATTGTGATATATGCCGAAAACTAGTAGTAGTATCTTACCTGCATGCACATTGAAATCTAATTTGAATAACATCATCAAAGATGGTTTGTGTTGCGACATCTAATGATGTGAGGTGAATTTAGATGCCACTACTGAATTGATAGTCCTGTCAATGATTGGTTGGGCCATTGACTTTCTTTAACATAGGAAGTATAGGAAGTTGACCATCAGTGGCTGGTTCATGCTGAGTAGCTTGTTCGGAAACCAAATTATCATATGTAAACCCCAGAGCAAATATATGGTGTTCGAAATTTTGTTTGTAACCTGAGGTTTGGCTGTATTTAATAAACATGTGAAATTTGATTTGTATTTGTTTAAAATATGTTTTCAGTAGTTTAAATTATATTATAGCAAAATTATATATATATATATATATAAATATATATTAATTTGTAAATTTTATTTTTTAAAAAAGCTTGATTTATTTAAAAGCATCTGCTTTAGAAGAAATTTCTTTTCAGACATTTCAGTTTTCAGTAAAATGGAATTAATATAATTCCACTTTTTACTAAATTAAAACAAAAACAACAGAAATTAATGTTCCTTCTAAATTTTATTACAGATACCATTTGGAGAAATATCTTGTGTGAAAAATTGGCTGAAAATAAGTGGAACAGTTGGAAAACCAGCACATGAACATCCACAGAGAATTATTCAAGGTTTTGATTGTAAAAGAAGTGAAGTAAGTTATTTATTTTTGAATAGTGAATGTTGTCAAAAATGTCTGTAAAGCATCTATTTCATTGCTGGAAAAGTGCCTAGGTTGACTTGGTTGAACATAGATATAAGTTTCAGCTTTTGAAAAGTGCAATTGATAAAATTATAAGTGTTGTGAAGAAAAATATTGTTTTATTAAGTAACAATAAACTGATTATTTTGATAAAGAATGAACTTGAAATTACAGTTATATTCAGTTAAGTTAATGAAAGAGTGGATGTAGCAACATGTTTGTGATCTGATGTAAACCCTATATTTTTATGAAATACAGTATATTTTTACATTCCATAAAATGTAGATAGATAGATTAAGATAATGCAAAATTGTAAGGTCAAGAAGTATAAAATAATTATAAAAAAGGCTGATTTTATGATTTGTTAAAAATATTTCTATATAACATATATACTGGTACTTTGGATTAAATAGTTTTTTGCAAATAAAAGTTCATAATTGCATTTAAAATAATTTTCAGTATATTATTTGCAATATTTTACTAATTTTTAAGATAATAGTTGACTGATTTACCCCTACCCTGTGGTAATAACAGGGTATGAGGTAAATCTGTAAAATACAACTACATATAACAACCACAGACAGTTTTATCTTGCAACTCATTTTCCATGCTCACATAGCATGCCCTGGGTCTTGTATGTAACATCTTTGTGATCTATATTTGTTCAATTAGTAGTTTCTGAACTACTGCACTATTAGAATTGTTGCATTTTTCTTCAGTTCTGACAAAATTCTGACTGTTTGATCTATGATTTGGTAGCTTTCATAGCCCATCATATGATATACCATACTTTTCTGTGAGACTACATGCTAATAAAAATTTTTACTGTTCTGAAAATTTTTGTTGTTGTCATTTGTAATAGTTTTTTTCTTTTGTAATTTTTTGGTATTTTGTAGAAAATAAAATAGTTTAAAAAAGAGCAAATAAACATCTTAATATATTTTAATTGTTTAAGCAGCAAGCTGTAATCAAAAAACTTATTAATTAAATCAAAATTATCAAATACCTTCTCTGCCCATTACTTGCAACTTAAAAGCTGTTTTATATTTGTTACTGATAATCATAAATGTATAAATGGCATAAATTAAATTTTATGATTACAAAAATAATCATCTCAATTCCTACATTTTATGAACAATTAGAATTGTCCACCAGCTTTCCATAAAATCATTTGATAGCTCTTACTTGAAAAATAATGGTAATATATTGGAATATGACATTTAACATCTTGATTTAATTCTATTATTTAATAATTAAATAATAGAATTATAGAATAATTTTGTTAAAAATTATATGATATTATAATAATATTATTTTTATATTATTTTTAACAAAATCAAGCAATAGAAATTCTGAAAAATTTCTCAGAAAAAATAGTATTCTATAGACATACATAGAGTAATCATTCTATAGTACATAGAGTAATCATGTAAAACATGTCTGAAATTAGTGTCTGATTTTCACTTTACAAGAGCTACAGCTAACATTATAACATTTTATCCCATAAAATTTTTATGAAAGACAGCACCCCAGTAATAGTGGTGCAGACAATGCCCTTGCATCAGGTGCTGAGTTCACAAAAGTGCCAATAGAGTTAAATCTAATAAAATACTTTTTATTAGATCTAACTCTATTTTAATTAGATTTAACTTTTTATTTTCAGAAATAAATAAATAAACGTAAAAATTATGATTTATAATTACATGTTATAGTATTTGAACAGTATATTAGTATATTACTGTTTAATGAAAGAGTAACCTATAACTTTTATGCACCAAGTTCAAAATCAGCTACAGCTCTGATTGAAAGAGCTTAATTTTATAAACTAATTTGTAATTAAAGTGTAAATAATTAAACTAAAATAAGTTTCATATAAGTTTTCTACTAAAATTCATAAAATATCCTCTAATTTCTGTATGTATGAAGTTTGTTATCAAGAATATCAAGGTTTTGTACCAAGAGTTAAAATGCTTGTTTTGAAGACATTTCAGATTTTTTTTTCTGATGAAAAATTGTGGCATTCTTCAAAATAACTGGAAAAAACCTCAAAGTTAGTCTCTAAAAATAAATCCAAAATTATAAATTTTCAAAATATTTTATCCACATGTGAGCAAATAAACAGATGACACAGATCTCAAATGATTACCAGATATTTCTATATTAATGTAATATTTTATCAATTTATATACATTAATTTTAACAACAATTTTTGAAATAATTATTTTATAATTATAATTAAAATATTTTATTTACCAGGTCAGTGGAAAAAGATTCTGGGAATTTTTCAAAGATATTTCTGGCACTCCAGACACTTTCTTCAAGTACAGTTTTGTTCATAATTATTGCCCACTTTCTTTCTTATCCAAAACTGGTAAAAATATCACCCCACCTCAGTTGAACGTCAGCACTCGTAATGACTTGAATGCAATATGCGATGAAGCATTGCGTAAAGTGGTGAATTTACTGAATGTAAAAATATTAATTGCTGTAGGCAAATATGCTGAAGAGAGAGCAAAAATTGCTCTCAGGAGAATAAGTGAGATAACCATTTGTAATATAATGCATCCAAGTCCCATCAATCCTGCTGCAAATAAAGGTTGGAATGAAATAGTTAAAAAACAACTACAAGATCTTGATGTATTACATTATTTTTTGCCATAATCATTATCTATTTATTATACATACTTTATTAATCAATCAATTTTATAATTATTTTAACCTATTTATATATTGTCTTTTTAATTTTAATCCCAAAAATATGTAAGATAGTGAAATTTTTCAAATAAGTAAAATTTATAATGTCAAAATATGAACTGTGTGTGTAGTGTTAAATTTATTTTTAATTTAGAAAATAAATATTTAAACATTTTATTGTCAAATACAATGTCTCTAAGATTAAAGTACAATCTATAGTGATGATTGCCTCTATGTTCAAATAGATAGTTTTTTAAAATCTATTTATCTCATGAATTTAAAAATTATTTATTAAACTTTTATCTATTTGTTTTTTGTAGCTTACCATGTAAAATATAAATGTATATAAAGTGAACTGTGCTTAATAAATTTAGAAAATGATAGGAAGAGACTAAACAAAAAAAGCATGGATTCTCCAAGTTAATTCAAAGGATTACATTCAGAATATGACAGAAAATCATTTATGAATGCAATTATTACATATTTTCATATATAAAAATTCATCAACAATCACAAGACAAGAATGACATATACAAGATACTATTATGTTTAATTTTATTATCTGGTAAAGTATGTTACATTGTGTTTTTGGGCTGCAATTTTCAAATTGCAGCCCAAAAACACAATGTAACATACTTTATGCACCAAGTTCAAAATCAGCTACAGCCTGGAAAGTTATATTTTAATTCAAACATTTTCTCCAAAATGGAGTTAAACATATGACTGGCATTACTTCATTGTTAACAGGAAAAGAATGATGTACAGGGGTAAGATACTACTCAAATCAAGAGCATATATTTTAAATAAATTAAAATATGACTAAAAATTGCAGGTTGGCATTGTGACAATGTTACAGTGATTTTGTTGATTTTTTTTTCTTTTGATCAGTAAAGTAACAACAAAAGATAGTTGTCTTGTTTTATTTAAATTTAACTATCAATACTAGATAATTGTAATGCACAGAGGGTAAATGCTATTATTTATGGATTAGTCTAGTAGTACTCAAAATAATATGGTCTATGGACCACTTAAACCAAATTAGATGTGATGGACCATCTATGCCTATTTAATGATACTGGTCAACACATTGGTTGTCAAAGAAAAAAACAATGTAGGTTATATAAGTATAAATAATAGTTAATAAGTATGTATTTTTGTTTATGCCAGTTATTGTAAATATTGGGTTTACTTTTCAGATGATAATTTGCTACTTTCAGAAGAAATTTTCACAATTTTTCTTAAAAATTATCTGGAAAGCATACAACTAAAACATTCTTTCTACTGGCTAAACAGTATATATTTGTATTTTTAGATTGGATTGATGAGATAAGACAACGCAACACATGGGTGAACCGTCAAGGTAGTGCCTCTTGGCTGGATAGATGTCAGGCTGGCTCAGAAACTGGCTCCTATTTAGATGTTACACACAAAAAAACAAAACTAAAAACATCATGTGGCCAGTCCGTTAGTCGGGTGTGAATCCACAACCAACTACCAGTGTTCAGAGGTTTTATCCCCTCCATTTGTATCTTAGGAAAGATGGACCATCTATATAGTTCATGCTTCCACAACCACCTGTGGATATACTTTAAGAACCAATGGATTAGACTATTAGCCTACTCTGGCTTCATGAATCACTCCATTATCATCATCAATGATCAACCACGGTCTCATAATAGAATATTTTTATTATTATATTTATGATTAATGAATATTTTGGTCTTCCATCTTCCAATATTTCTGTATCTTTTCATTTAGAGAATATGTTTAATTCTTTTCTAATACCTTCATTTTGCATAGTCTAGCCTTATGGATCTTTTAACTGATTTCAGAAATCTCATCTCTGCAGCTTGTATTAGGAGTATTCATTATGGAAGCTTGTCCTCCTATCAAAGCTGAATTATACAAAAGCTGTAAATCATGAACATGCATGTGAACCAAATGATTTCAGGAAAGTAACAACTTTAACCTTTTTGTTGTTGTCAACTACAAATGTCTTAATTCTCATTTCATTTTTATTGGACATTTTATTGGTCAACATTGTCTTTTAAGAGAATTATTTTGTGCCATTTCTGTAAGTTTAAAAATACAACTAGTCCCTCTGTTGATAGATTTAAATAGTCTATGGACATTGTTCCAAGGCAACAGCTTTCATTTAAGCCAATGGCTTTTGCCATAGAACCTGTATTAATGAAGTTGGGGCCAAGAGAAGCAACAATGAGTAACCTATTTTGTTAATATCACTTTTGATCATGATCTGTTTCCAAGATTCCATACAATGGATATGATCCCTCAAATAGTTATTATATATAAATTTTATACCTACACATTAGTATTTCTTTTAGTGCTTTTTTAATAGTACTGCAAATATTTTATTGCATACTAAATTACTGAAGTAAATCCAATTACACGATTGATTTGTAGTGTGTTTTCTTTAAATACCATGGGAGTATTAAAATTTTTAAATTGTTTACAAAATTGATAGTGGTTATAAACTGACTTTTGTAAGTTGTCATTTTTTACATTTTTACTTCATTGGCAAAAAGAATATTTGTGTGTATTGATTTATGGTATTGAGCAGACATTAGCAGACACTATATTTTCTGCACTTGAATATTATCAATATATAAATATTGAAAAAGATTTGTGATTAGCAACATCTTAAATTTTATGTAAACCTTGTTAACATGTTAGATAACTCAATCAAGAGCAATGTGGTATTACTGTACCTTAATGTTTGATCTTCATCTTTTAGGGATTGTCTTAAAAAAAATATGAAGCTGAATATCTTTTAGAGATAATCAGATGGACCTATTATAATTTGCATCAGAACCTAAGAGTTCATTACAATCAAGTCCTGATTTAGCAGGGCAATTTATTGTGGTCAGTGACAGCAGGACACACAAGTCATAATAATATTTGTGATAGTGAATGTCTAGTTAAATTTAGTAAAGTATTGTTGATTTTTTAGGCTAATGTACTGTACTTTTTAAAATTTTCATGGTTGCAATTACAGTAATTAATTATATTACATAATTTTTATTTATGCTATTGTGTAGTTTTTAAACAAGTAGTCTTTGTGATTGGTAATGAGCTATATTTTTCATATTATACTGTGTACTTTACTATAGTTTACTTATGACATTGAAACAGACAGAGTAGAGTGCCTGTATTGCTGGCATATTTTCAAGTAATTTGTGGATTTACCATGGAATTCAAAATACTAGTTCACAAACCCTCTGTAAAGCTTGTAAATCAGCAGTTTACTGTACTTATGTTATTAATTATTATATGCATATTATATACAATATTTGATTTCGTATTTTGATTTTTTCCTCTATTGGTTTATAATAATCATCTCTAGAACAATTGATGAAGTATAAAATTTTAACACATTAATGACAATTTAGGGATTTAAAGAAGAAGGATTTTGCTGATTATGTAATGAATATTAAAATTTTGGAACCAAGTTCTACTGTATAAAAAGTTTTACTTGTTGGTTGTGGCAATAAGATTTTTAATACTAATGTCAGGAACAAAAGCCACTTAAAGTGGTAATCATATTATTTTTCTTATAGTTTGATGAACACCTTAGAGAGCAGTAATATCTCCAATATTTAGTAGGAAAAAAATCTATCAAATGCAAAAAAAGGCATTTTATTCCTTTTTCTTGTTAGTAGTGACCAAGAGAAAACAAAACAAGTTGTTTTTATCAGTATTGAAACTTATCAGACCTACTGAATTGGGTATTATCAGATTTAATTAATATCTGGAGAGAGCTTGTTTAGTAATAGTGTTCAGTTATGTTGAAACAATTTATAATTATTTGAAAATGATCAGCAAAAGTGAACAATTTAAACTTGAAATAAAAATTAATGATTTGTGTACATAAAAAGAAACAATTAACAACTTTGTGAAGCATGTTTGTTTTTAGAAAAATTCAATGTTGTGCAATGTCAGCCATTGTTGTTGTGGATCTGGATTCAAATCCAGTCAAGATTCTAAATTTATCATTGGTAGTATATGTCAGAGTATTGTTTCCATTCATGATGCTGACTTCTTCATGAGAAAACTATGTCTACAAAGGGAAAAATTGTGGCAGACAATATAGCCTTGATATGCTGATATTTTGTTAACAAGTTCATAGCTGTCTAGTTACATGTTTGACTTTAAAAGCAGAAGTCGTGTCTGATTTTTGAGATAAAAGTTATAATTAAATTCTTTATAATAATGAAATTTTTATAATAAAGCAAGATAATGTACTTTGTACAAATTATCTTTATAGAATTAATCAAAAATTAAAAAAAAAAAAAAAATACAAATTTATAAAGTGTTTATATAATAATTATTAATTACTACTAAGATATGTGCTATATCATACATTTAAATAATATATAATATTTTTAAAATTTTCAAAACTAACTTACAATGCTAATGATGACAAGTTATATGGGTATTTAGCAGAAGTCAATTCGGACTATCAAAGTTTAAGTTCAGAGACTGCTCTTATTGATTCATTTGTTCATTAAGCATTTTAAGAAAATGCAATAAGACTGTGATTTACTGATGAGAAATAAAATTAAAATTATATGTATATATATTTGGTAGTAAATACATTTTTAGTGTCAAAATATTATTTGCTATAAATTTAATCTTTATCATGTAACAATATCATTTTACTCCCCTTATGTAGTTTTAAAAAATTTTTCAAATGTTAAAATACTGTATATGTAAAATTTATTGTATTGCAGTAAAACGTTTTTCATGAATTCTGTTATTTTGTACAATTAAACTATCATTCTCACTAACTTAACAGTTCTCTGGTTAATTCAGGGTGTCTGAGAAGTTAATGTCATTACAAATTTCTGACTGCACAGTAAAATTATGTCTATGGCATTGCATACAAGGCCTGTAAATTGTATGTCCTGTATTTACACTTTGTAGTAGATGGCATTACTGCTTGCTCACAGATGTTCTAGTCTTTGGAAGACTTCTTTTCTGATTGCATAATCTTGTGAAATCTGGCCTGCTAGGTCTCCAGGAGACATGATTGACCAGGCTATCACCAATTGGGTGACAAAATAATAGACAAAGCAAAAATTTATTGTTTTTATTAAGATCACCATTCTTTTCTATAGATCTAAAACCTGATAAATTTAAATAATAATCTTTTGAGAAACAAGTTAACAGAAAGATCTAAATATAAAATTTGAAAAATCTTGCTTATAATTGTTTATTTTTATTGTGTAGAATATAAAATTGAATAAAAATTATATTGAAATTTCCCATGTAAAAAATGAATCAGCTAGTTAAGTTTCGTTTGTATCATATCAAAATTTGTAGAATCATTTAAGAAAGAATGGTTAAAAATGTGATCTGAAAATGATTTAAAAATAAAAAGGTATAATTGCACAATATTAAAATAAAGAAAAACTAGTTTTTAAGTTCATTTAATAATTTGTAATTATGTAACATGTAAATATGTTTGTTAATTTCATACACTTTTTTGTTTTAATGTAACAAAATTTTAATGTTAAATTTACTACTTCATATTGTAATTACATGCAATACCATATAAATATTCTTAATATATTTTCTCTATCATAATTATATATATTTTACCAATATTTATAAAAATAAAACAGTCAAATTGTATGCTTGCTAAGTGTGAAAAAATTGTTAACTTTCTATTGCCAAATTAACCATTGTTCACTTAGCTATGGTCCAATTGGCTCATATCCATGTATGGACTATACTCCCCAGATTTTGAGGCCTTGTGGAGACATTCCTGGCATTTGCTGTAGAAGAAACAGCAATATTGTATATAAAACTTCAACCTTTTCCATTGCACTAACTTTTCAGACACCCTGTATATGATACTGTTATGAAAATGCTGTGACTGGATAAAATTTTGTTATGACAGGATAATGGCATGTTTACATAGAGGGTTACAAGAATGGTCTATATAAATTTCAAGTATATAAAATATACTACCTGAACTGGCAGATTATTTTTGTGATATCATCTGGAACAGGCATTGTTCTATGTTGTTGTTTTCTTCTTGAATTTTCTAAATGAATTTAATTGGGCTACAATTTGAAAAAAATTGTAGACTTATAAATGGCCACTGTCATCTGTCTGTCCTTCCTTCCTTAATCTTGAGAACAGAGTTAGATACATGAAAGTCAAGACCAGATATAGAAAGCTTAGGGACAGGAGGGCCCGATTAACTATATACGAACTTCCAATGCAAATTGGAAGTCAAGTTATTTCAATTTAAAACTTTTCCTTTAAAAGGAGTTAGATACATGACTGGCACAACTCAATTGCTAATGGAAAAGTGATATACAGGGGCAAGCCACTACAATACTGATTTGAGGTGAGAGCATATATTTTAAATTTAATTTATTTAATTTAAAATATATTAAAAATTGCAGCCCAGCATTGTGACAATATCACAATAAATAATTGCTTGTTAAATTTAGTTTATAATGGCTAAACTGCATTTTCCTGTAAAGGTTAACAATCACTTTTTTAATTAATTAAATATCTGAGTTTGTCCTAAAATTATCTATTATATAGGCTGAGAAAAATCCAGCAATTTAGGCCAAAGTTTTGCTTGAGATGACAAATAAATTTGTTAGTCTTTACCACACAACTAGGTGCACAGACACTAGACTTTTTTTACATCTCACTTTATTCTGCAATATCTTAGATGCCGATACATGTTTCGGACATATGCCCCTAATCTATCTGCTTTATCTTACAGACATTTAGCATAGTGGTGCAAACTATTATACACTTTAAACATACATATATACGCCGTTAAAATCATCATGACTTAGTGCACTAAATAGCACTCAACATTTGCCAGCATTACCAGTTCCTTCACAGCACTCAAACACGCAGTAGAAAATCATGATGATTTTAACAGTGTATATATGTATGTTTTAAAAGTGTGTATAATAGTTTACACCACTATGCTAAATGTCTAAGATAAAACCGACAGATGAGGGACGTATGTCCATAATGCATATTGGGGTCTAAGATATTGCAGAATAAAGAGTGATTTGAAAAAAGCTCAGTGTCTACCTGTGCACCTAGTTGTGTGGTAAAGACTAACAAATAAAAGAAGGCACTGTTTCAGAAAAAGGCAAAATAAACAAATTGTAAACCAATGAAATGGAAGTAAAAATTAGAATAATTATATTTGCATAATAAGCAAAAAATAGAGTCTGGATTAATTGTTTTGCTTAAATTTTGTACAAATAAAAATAAAATTAATTTTTTACTAAGTCAACTTATCTAGAAAATAAATTTATGGCTACACTTTACTAACCTTTAACATACAGTCTATTTTATTAACATATTAACGTTTTTGGTCAATTAATTGACCTTCATCAGATCGAACAATTTTTCAATTTATGATGAACGAAACCAATTACAATTTTTAACTTTAAAAGTTTTCTCAACGCCTATTGCACAAGTCCGAAAATAGATAAAAAATAAAATCTACAGACTGAAAATGTATGCATACACTAATTATACACACAAAAATAAAAGTAAAAATAAAAATTAATAATAATAAAGAAATAGATAAATAAACAAGTGACAATGATTAATGCCAATCTTTTATCTGTCTGTGCTTTTTTCTTTTGCTGGTATGTTCATAATGCACCTGCTCTTCATGCTGTGGAGACTTTATATGATTCTCTGAAGTTTATAGCCTGTCCTGCTAGACTGCTCTTGTGAATAGGCCAGATTTCTTCATATTTAATATGTCTCCTGTCCTGAACCTTATGTATTATTTCTGCTCTTTCCCATTTCACTGAAACCTGTTGGGTCTGCTATAACATATGTCACTAAAGCAGTGACTGGTTGCTCATTCTGTATGTTCCTTTTGTGCTCTTTTATTCTTTCTTTTAATGGCCTCATTGTAGCTCCAATGTAGTACAGTTCTTTTTGCTGCCTCTTGTCTTGTATGGGTACTCTGTAAACTCCAGGAATAAGGCTCTGGTCAATAGGTTCCTTGTCCATACTGTGAGGCCGGGACCACACACCCCCCTTGGACGGAAACCGGCAGTCGAGCTAAAGTCAATATATCAGTGACTTATTACGTAAATAGGACCGGTGTGACCAAGGAATGGAGTGCGAGATGATTTAATTGTCACATTCCAGGCCTAATTGACAGACCCGCGATCGTCAATCATGAGAACGAGTGGGGGATCGACCGTCGGGGAAACTTTGGACATTCACCTTACCGACAGTTCAAAGCAGGTCCTGCTGACACTCCTGTGGAGGGGGCGGTGGCTGAGACAGCTTCCTCCTCTTCGGGACAGAAAAACAGACATTAGGTGAAATTTATGGGACCGTCATTTGGGAAAGGGCTTGACCCGACTCCGGAGGGGAACGGTCTGGACGGGGACATTCGGCGACCCCTCCAGAATCGCATCCCTGGCAACAGACCAGGAACCAATAGAATCGCAGGGGACCAACATTTGGACCAACCAAAATCTCAGAATTTCGGGAAGACAAATGTTATAAAAGCCCGAAATCCCAAGGACACGAGGAGGTTGCAAGCTGGAGATCGAGAACGACGGTTTCAGAGAACGGATACATAATAACCCAGAGTTCTCCCAAGAAGCGGACGGAAGGGACTAGGACTCAACTTCCCAGTGCCAATTTTTCCATCCCTGCAATCTCCAGTCCTCTACTTACGACTCTTAAGAAGCGGACTCCCTCCTCCTTTTGGTCTGTGCCGACCATTATCAACGGAAAACGAACTATCCGGCGAGCTCCTCTTCAGTGACGGACTTTTGATCAGACGTTGGTGTAACTCATTGTAAGCATGATTTTCCATACAAATAAATGCATTGAATTGGTAAATATGGTCTGTGTGAGTCATCTTTGTGTCCAGCAAACCACTACCCCCATACGGAGAAGGCTTTCTCATATCATCCTGACAGATCACGGGAAAAGCGAGGGTTGTAACCTTTCACTTTAAGGGTGACCTCCATGCGAGTTAAGGTTCGGGTACACCGCATCCTTACAAACGGGAACAATCCTCACTGTGGTGTCTCCCCGAGGGTGCCGTCCTTACAATACATAGCATCTGGTATACTGTTGGATTCCTTTTAAAGATTATCTTTTTGTTAGTAGCTGCTGCTATTTCTTTGTAAATTTTGGTTAAGGGTGCCATTCATTCCATTACTGTATATTCTTCTACTCTTCCTCTTTCATTATCTTCATTATTGTCTTTTCTTGTTTTATTTATTAAGGCCTTTATTTTATTCTGATTGACTCCAACACTCTTTGATCTGTTCTTTATGTCTGTCCTGCACTTTGCTGCAATGTGCACTTTGCTTTTTATAAGTGCCCTGAAAGCTGCCAGTTTATAATTTGCTGGGTCATGGGATGTCCATGGATTAGCAATGGATTATAAGTCGACTTTCTGTAAACTTTAGTATTGATTTCCACTTCTTTTTCTACTTCTATTGATATATCTAGGAAGTGTATCTTTTGGTCGTTCTGTTGTTCTAGCTCAAACTCTAGGCCATACTTGTTATTGTTGATGTCTTTGAGAAATTGCTGTATGTCTGGTTTTTCTTTCCATGTGATCAAGACATTGTTGACATATCATGCATATAATAGCATATGCACTACGTATTTCTTTATGATGGAATTCTCTAATGTCTTTTGTACCATCTCACATCGTGCCCCTGATATGAGACTTCCCATTGCCACTCCTCTAGGTTGAATGTATGTTATATTGTTAAAATTGAAGACTGACGAGTATGTAGCTAGATGTGCCAGTTTCAGTATCTGCTTTCTTATCTTTGTCATATTTCCGATTTTGTTCAATAAGTCTGTCAGATGGCAAAAACATGGCTAAAGTTTAATTGAGGGATATAAAGCCTTGAAATCTAGTACTGTCATATAACTTTTTTCTTTTAATTTAAAATTTTTCATTTTCTAGAGCAATTCTAGTGGCTGTTTTATGCTGTATTCATGTGGAGGCATGTGCGTGTTAGTGAAACCTTTGGGTATCCGTTCTAAGATTATCGTAGGTGAGCATTTATCAACTACTGGCCTTATGTTTCTTTCCGGTTTGTGTGTCTTGGCAAACCCAAATAGTCTTGGGACTGATGAGGAGGGAACTACTATCTTCTTCATTCCTAGTTCTTTTGCTAGGGTTGTATTAGAAAAATGTTCACTCTTGCTTGTAACTGCTCTAGAGCTCTTGGGTGTGCAATCCTGCATTGCATTTCCTTTATGTATCTTACTAAAAGCTCATTACATGTAACTCTTTTCATTAATACCATGTCCTTCAACTTGTTTGCTCTTGTAAGTACTACAGTAGAGCGTCGTTTATCTGAAAGAATTCCAGTTGGCAAATTTAAATTTTTGCTAGTGCTGTGGCACTGCAATCTTTGGCGATATCTTGGGCTACTCCAATATTTTTTTTGTTGGTGTGTGTGTTTTAGCTGGAAGCACTGGCACTTTTGTGTGGTGTTTTTCTGAAAACTTTTTTTTTTCTTTCCGCCCTGTGGGCACTAAGAGGGCCTCTTTTTGCAAGCCCATTATGGGTTCAGCCAGGCCCACAATGGGGCTGCCGAGTGGTGAAGGACGGGGCCCGACATATCCGAACGGACCACCCCCCTAAAGATTCCTGGGGATTTTTCGACCCGTTCGGATTCGAACCTGGGTCCCCCAGAGCGGTAGGCTGCCACCTTGACCGCTCGGTCATCCGGCTGCAAAAATCGGCCCGGAGCGGGACTTTTTCTGAAGACTGTGTGTGGTGCTGAATGGAACATTTTTGATACTAGATCAACTTCTAAAGTATATATTTTTTGGTTTTTATATTTTTCAATATATTTATTTTGTTTGTACAAAATAAAGAAATAATTTTTAACGATACAATAGCCACGATTATTATTTTAAAAAGTTTATGTTAGGCTTAACATCGACGAAAATTCAACACGAAGCAACATGCAACGGAGAAAAATTTCAACACAGGATAGGTTAATATATTTTTTCGTATGTAATCGGTTATCCGAAAAATAAGTTATCCGAACAACCCCATTCCCCAATTGATTCAGATAAACGACGCTCTACTGTATATCATTTTTGTTCATCCATTTTCTGCTTTCTCTTATATTTTTCCATTTTGGGCTGCAGGTTGCTCTTGCGTATTTGTTCTTTATTTTGAATGCTGTTTTCCATCTGAATGTCTTTTTTATGAGTTTGCTTAGCCCTTCTATTGCTTGTTTTACATCAGGGATGATCTTTTTTCATAGGTGAGTTTAGGCTGTGCAACATATTTTGGGCCAAATTTGCAGGCCTCATTGATACACAGTGGTGGTTAATGTTATCCCAGCATATTATTGAGTGGGTGGCCTGTGGTCTTATGCTACCCTGTTGCTGCACTCTTATCCACTTCATTTTCTTCTCATAGTTTTTATGCATCCTTTCTGTCACTTGATTCAATAAATTTACTACTCTGCTATTAACTTCTCCTAGTAAATTTGGATCTATTTCATACAGCTCGTTTTCTAATTCTACCAGTTTTTTCAGCAAATAATATTTTCTGCACTATGTAGTGCAAATAGCCTTTCATAAGCATAATAATCTTAATCTTGGGAGAAGCGAAGTGCATCCATATGGCAGGCATATTTTCTATTTTGACATAGGGACTACGTTGCAATTTTTGCATTCCGTTAAGAAGTTCAATTTGGCTTTGTTCTTACAAATCTTCATAACCAATTTTTGATAATTTTTGGCCAGCGTTGCTATTATACTCTTCTTGAACTCCACTTTCAAAAATAATTACACTTTACTAACCTTTAACATGCAGTCTATTTTATTAACATAATCTAATGTTATTTATATTACATTAATAAAATAGACTGCATGTTAAAGGTTAGTAAAGTGTAGTTATTTTTGAAAGTGCAGTTCAAGAAGAGTATAAATTTATGAAACTGAATATACACCCTTTGCCTTACTCCAGGATTCTACAAACCATAGTTGATTGGAATCCTGGATTAATGCAAAAGGACATCCATGAACTGCAAAAGTGAACCAAAATAGTCATAAAATATACTTAATTAAAACGTAATTAATTTTAGCCTGTAACTGCATAAAAAGCTTTTCAAAAAAAGGTTAAATTTTTTCTATTTTATAAATTTGTAAAGTTGACCTCTAGCCAGTGGTGGAATGATCTGAATGAAACTAAAGCTGTATCTCCAGTATGACAGTTCATTGTATTTTTATTTAATTTTTGTAAAAGTAAGTTGACTAATAATGGTATCATAACATTATTCTTCATCCCTGTCAGTCTATCTTTTCAGGACTAAACATTTCTCTCATACATACATAAAATTCTTCCAAAAATTATTGCACACTAGTGCACAAAATAAAACAATAATTATTACTACCTAATTTAAAAAACTGAAATTAAATCATACAAATAAAGCCCACTGTATAATTTGCCACATGATACTAAACTGGCAAATTGACAAGATGACATGCTTAAATTAAAGTGTTCTTGTGACAATTATAAACTTGATGTAACACTTTTGATTAATAGAAATAAAAATTTAAGTTATCATTGATGCCACAAATGACCTATTTTTAGCATGGCATAAAATTGACTTTAAAGTCCAAATATGCAAAATTTTTTTCTGAAAAATTGTTTAAGAAATGCACCAGTTTTTTGCAAAAAGATAAAGTCAATCAAACACTCTAAAGTTTATTATTATTATTTTATAATAAATCTGAAAAATATGGAAAAAAATTTATAATATGATGATAAAATTCCAAGCTAATTTAATCAAGATGATTCAGAAAGTTTTAATTAATTCACAAATTTTTAATGTAGGGGACAAGTGAATATTTTATTTTAACTCAAGCCAACATGAAATTTCATCCATTAAAGTGTCAAAAAGGTTTTGAAATTAAAAAGAAGCAAAAAAAGTTACTTTTAAGTTCTGTTTTGGTTTTGGTCTTTATGTAAAATCAAAACTGTGGTTCAGTAACTGAGATTGACTTGTCCTTACTGAAACTGCATAACTGTGTAAGTAGGCAGCAATGCAATGAGTGACAGAGTTGATTGAAAACAAAGAAAACAAGTTTACTTCTTGGTTTCTTTCCAAACATGGTTTCAGCAAATTTTCCCAATTAATGTCTACAGGCTTAGCCAAGATGCTACTTAGATATTTAACTACTAAAACTGATTATAAGTACAGTAGAACCTCGATTATCCGACCCCTCGGTTAACCGACCGTCCTAGTCGGCAAATTTCAAATGTCCGCTATTGATGTGGCGCTACAATATTTGGCTATGTCTTGGCTACTTTAATATTATTTTTACGTGTTTTAGCTGGCAACACTCATTCGACCATGAAAGGGAGCCAGTATTTAAACGAAGCTTAATTTTCTAATTTTTAACGATACAATAGCGACGATTATTATTTTAAAAAATTTTTGTTAGGCTTAACATTGATGAAAATTCAACGCAAAGTAGGTTAATAGCGATATAATAATATACTACACTAATAATGGATTTTTTCATACTTTTCGGTTATCTGACTTTTCAATTATCCGACCAACCCCAGTCCCCAATTAGGGTGGATAATCGAGGTTCTACTGTAATCATAATTTGATGATACAGGTGTATAATAATAGTCAATAAATCCAAAAATCTTAGAAAGGCCTATATTTTAGATACTGTGATATGTTCTCATTTATTACTTCTATATACCAGTGAGAAAAATACTGAAAGTTATCATTCAATTGAAGAACTTAAAATTTCGGTCACACGAAGAAAATTGGTGATTTTAAATTTTAGAATTAGGAAAAATTCTTTTATGTGCATTATAATAATAATTCCATAAACTATATATAAAATAATAGTTTATTTTCCATTATAAAGGACTACAATTTTTTGTTTTATAATTTAAAAAAATAATTACAGTATATGTTAAATTAAAAAAAAATAATATAAAATGTATGCCAAGAAGAAATACATAGTGATTATTCATCTTCATCACTTTCAATTATTCTTCCTTTAAATTTTTTTCTTGGCAATTCAAGTTCTTCATCAGATTCTATTAAAAAAAAGGACATTTCAACATATTTAAGCAAGTGCTACTTACTTCAATAAATCAAAAATGAACAAGCATTCTACATTAATCCATTTAATATAGGGCGAGTATTACAAGGTTGTAAAAGTGAAATTTAGACAATTTGAAAAAAATCTTAATTGACAATTAACTTGACAATTACAGTTCAGCCTGATAGGTAATCACCAGCAATATCATCTTGCCACATTTGCTGCAAACTTTCAATCCCACCAGCATAGAATGACTGGGGTTTTCTTTGAAGAAAGTCTTGAGTGTCAGATATTGTCATCAAAGAAAGTATATTGGAAAAATGGTTCTGCAGGGCACAAAATAGACTGTAGTCAGTTGGCACCAAATCTGGACTATAAGGTGGACGAGGCAGAACCTCCCAACCCAGACTGGCAAGCTTCTCTAAGGCCATCTTTGCTCTGTGCTGGCACGTTGTAGCAGTATCAAACTGTCAATTTTTGGACAAAATTCTTTGATTTTGGTATTCAACAATCTAGTTGTTCACAGTAGAATTCTATTGTGACAATGATGTTGGTTGGAAACAGCTCCATTTTGATGACACCAAACATAGATCATTGCTGATTGGCCTTTGTTCACCCAAGAGCACTTTAACAAATGCTTTGCAAAAGAGATCATGAGCCTTCAAGACTTTGTGGCCACTTTTGAAATGTAGAGGAACAGCACATGAGTGCATTCTTTCAAAAGTTTCATATTGTCAGACATTGTTGATGCATCTATTTCAAATGAAATATGTGATGAAATACCTTTTTGTTACTCTACTTATATACCCAAATCGAATGTTCTAGAACAATTTTTTCCAGTCATTTCTAGAAAAAAATTGAAATATCTAAGTTTCACCTTTACAACCTAGTTAGTGTCTTTTACAAAGATAGAAAAATGACAACTAAATTTTAAAAATAAAATAATTTAAATAATTACTTAATTTTTTTAAATTACACATAACAGGTCTTTTCCCTATATGTTGAATTGTTTTCATTTTACAATATTGGAAATCTGAACAAAGCAAGAAAAAAAAACATGCATTTTATAAACATTTCATTTAGTATATGGGAAGACCATCTTTAAAAGCATAATATTTGGAACATTATAAATTTTTAAAATGTTAATTTATACTTCCCCAGAATATAAATTTAACATTTTTTTTAATTATAAAATATTTATGCTAATAAAATAAGCATTCCATGTTCCAATGGCTGAGGAAGGACAGTGATTTTTATCATGTGGAAAAGTTGTGGCTACATGCTGTGTAAATTTCAGTTAGTTTTCTTGTAAAATAAAAGAGAAACAAAACAGGAGAATTACTTTCTAACTGACCTTCATAAATAAAAAAAAATTCACTAAGCAAACAAGATTCAATTTTTGAAAATAATTCTGCTGTAGATAATACAGGATTCTTTCTTGGTATTATTTTTATCGTAATACTACCATATTAAATAGGTGTTCACTAAAGTTCCTCTTTCCCTAGCTGTTTTCTAATAAGTCCTGGAACCACAACTGGACCTATTAGAAAATGGCTATGAATAGAGGAACCTAGTATACCTATTTAATATGGTAGTGTTATGATAAAAATAATGTTTACTCAGCTGCCCATAGAAAAGACTAATTCTTTTTACTTTATCATTTTCTTGGATTGTCAAACTTCTTTAGTACTCATGAACATAAATACAATTAGTGCCATAAGTGTTACAAAAAATGAAAACAGGCTCTTTTTTATTAAATAAACTACACAAATCAACAGATATTACCAAAATTTAAATAATAAACAACTTAGTTTTTACTTTAATCAGATTAATATTCTATATAGATAGAAAAAAAACTATGTCTTAAAAGTGTTACTAAGATATAATCTACAAATCAAACAGCTGATATTACAGGAATTTCTGAAATACAGTAGAGCATCGATTAACCGTCACATTGGTTAACCAACCGTTCTAGTTGGCAAATTTCAAATGTCCGCTAGTGATGTGCACTACAATATTTCGCTATGTCTTGGCTACTTTAATATTATTTTTGTTAAATTTTTGCGTGTTTTAGCTGGCAACATGGCTCGACCATTAAAGGGCAGCCAGTATTCAAACGAGACTTAATTTTCTAATTATGAGGGGCTGTTTGTTTTGTGAGCAATAAAATAATTTAAAAATAATTTTTAACAATATGATAGCAACGATTATTATTTTAAAAAAAAAAATTTGTTAGGCTTAACATCGATGAAAATTCAATGCAAAGTTGGTTAATAGCAATATACTAATATAATAATTACATGGGATATAGTAATACACTATACTAATAATGTATTTTTTTCAGTTATCCGATTTTTAGTCCCCAATTGAGTCGGATAATCGATGCTCTACTGTAATTTGATTATTAACAAGAAATATGGTATTAATTATCTGAGCTCAAGTTATAAAAAAAATTTAAAAGGCTTAACACAACACAATAGGCCAAAAATGAACGGTCCACCAATGGAAAAATTTAAGCACTTTCATAGAAACTAGTAATCATTGTACTGTATTTCATTTTTCTGACTCAACTATAGTGATATTTTTCTTATCCTTTAAATAATATGTAATAGATAGTTTAAAACAGAGATCATCAACCTCTATGTAATCTAATTACCAACTGAATCCAAGTATCTTCTGAATTCATTTGCTAGTTGACTTTTTGAATCTTCTTTCCACATCACTTCATCTACTTGACTAATTTCATCTTCTGCTTCTTCTTGGGTATCATCATCATTATGCTTGCTTTCTGGAGAATTTATTTCTCTAGCTTCATTTTTTCTGAATTAAAAAAAATATATATTAAATGCAATTACTACTTCTTGGGTATCATCATCATTATGCTTGCTTTCTGGAGAATTTATTTCTCTAGCTTCATTTTTTCTGATTTAAAAAAAATATATATTAAAATATACGTATTATACTCTGTAACACTACTAAACTAGAGTCTTATACCCCGTTCGCCTTGGTGCAACCTCCATCAACCGTTTCAATCTCGATCGACTCAAGAGAGTTCTTGAAACCAGTCCAGTCGTACAAAAGGTCCCACAATCCCACGCGCGCGAGAAAATACAAGATGGCTGCGGAATACGTGTTGTGCCACTGCCAGCGAAATAAAAAAGATATTGTATTTTGATAGACAATGACATCTGTCTATTATTATAATAATACCTAATGATAAAATAAATGATTTAGAAAAGTTTTTTTTTTGAAGAAAAGTCATAGGGAAAGCAGTTAAACCTGGCTTTTTCTGATTAAAAATAAGNATCAAATGCAATTACTACTACAATTTAATAATAATAGTAATGATGATAACTACATATGAACTCATATTAAAAAAGATGAAAATATCATTTTTAATAAATGTGGTATCCTGAAAAAAAATCAATAAAGAATATAGCTTTAGAATTATTAATGAACATCAATAAGGTAAGGAAGTGGGAGAGGAAGAAAATACAGAATTGAGAGATATACAGGAAATAGTTCTTGGAAAAGATGGAAGAAAGTAGAGTTGAGATTCAAAAATTTCATATCTCTGAATACAAATTTCCCAGCTGTTTTAAAAAGAATCCTCTGATCAAAATAACATTTAACAAAAAGGGAAATACTTGGAAAATGGTGATTTAAGAATGAATTATTGTATGTCACAAAAAATCCAGCAACAAGTTTCATAACTTTTCTGGCAAAAAACACTAAGACATATTGCACTGTAGACAATTTTAATGATCAGAGATGTTATGAGATTTCGTTAAAAATAACTTATATTATTTATAATTATTATAAAGAGGCAAAAAGTTTATTTTGAGGATATAAAAAATTGTAAATGCTAACAACAAGTAAAATCTTCATTAAGTTCAACACCTCTCAAGATATGACACATGACCTCTCTACTATATCTCCCCATCCACCAAAACTTAATAGTATCAATGTTCCTTAGTTACATTGCCAACTTTTGTTTCTTGATCATTACCCCATCCTGAGATATTAAACAAAATAAACATTCAGAACTTAAAATTTCAAAAGTGGTGAGTCTACCACAAAGTATAAAATTATTTGGTTTTATCAATGAAAATTTGATTTCTTGAAAATGGAAATAAATTTTAACATTCAAAACTGCAGTCTTCTACAGCAAAAAAAAAATTATTTGATTATAGTTTTATTATTTCCAAGTGACAATTTATTAAAAGCTCTCTATCATATATTAAATTTATAAAATATCCTGGATTTTATTAGTTGATTCTCAATGCTCAATACTTTGATTTCCACATTCTGTTTCTTTCACTCAAATCATTGCCTTTTGATAAATTCATTTATTCATTTCTTTTTTAGCATCATTATTTCATTTTTTAATGTTTTCATCTACTATCATCCTAATTTTAGCTAAAAAAGCCATATCATTATCATTTTATCTCCTTCATCCAGTATATATCATATTAGAGTTATCTCTGGAATTTATTATTTACAGCCCTGTTTTTGGCATTATATCTTATTCATTACTAATATTTTTATCATCCTGATATTCTCACAAATTAAGTTATCTAAAGTGCATTTATTTTAACTATTAATAAATTTTCTATTTCTGATAACATTTATATACATAACAAGCCAGGAAAGGAAAATATTGAAATCATATCAAATTTGATATGATTACAACTCAGATTTCCAACCGCATCATCTCTAGTTGCAAAATTTCAAGATTTAATTAAAGAGTATAATTTGTCCTAAAAATAAGTGGTTAGATTCGTCTTGATTAGTAATTAGAATTAAATTTGAAATTCAATTTGATAATTTAGAAAATTCTGAAAATTATTCTTTGGATTTTTCTAAATAAAAATAATAGTTTTTGTTTTGTGTGTACTGATAGTATGTAGAAATGAAAATAAAAACTTACTCATTGTTTTGATATGAAATATTATCATCATCTCCATCTTGTAATTCTTTGTTAAGTAGTTCTAAATTAATTTCTAACTGCCTAGTTGCCAAATTTGATGGAATACGCCAGAATGATTCCTAATCATAGAAAATTATAAATATAAATAGATTAATGTCAATTTTATCATCATCAATGAAAGAAAAAGCTATAATAATTACTTGTTCTGATGCAGGAGGTACAAAACCAAATGTCTTTAATAACTGCAAAAACTCATTATTTTCCATAGCTGTATAATGATTATTATTAATAGGAACAATGGGTACGGATTCAATATCACCTAGAAAACACAGTCCATAAGTAAAAAAATTGAAATGTTTTCAAAGCAAGTTGGTTCTTCGTCAGAACACAACAGATTATAAATCTTAAAACATAGTTAAGAATATTTTTAAATGAAAGTAATAAAAAACAAAGTTTACTTGTTTAAACATTTTTATTGACAAGAATAATAATAATAAGTAAACAGATAACTTTTCATAAACATATTTAATCTAAAAATTCTAAACTACAAAATTAAAAAAATTTAAAAACAAATTAGACACTCAATCTATAAAACTTTAAAAAGTTATTAATAAAAATTTAAGTTTACAAATTTAATTTTGGAAAAAGATCAATATTTTCTATTGCGAGGCTCTGGACAGGTCCGAACCTCACTGAAATTCATATTAAAATCATTTATTTTTAAGGACAAAATTATTATTAATTTTTTTTTTTTGAGAAAAAAATAGAAGTTAGAAATAGTTTTTTTTTTAATGAAAACGACGCAAACTTTTAAACAATAGAACCACGGAAAAATGAAGGTTGACTATCTCTGGATGGGAATCAAATTAAACTACGATTTTGACCTCTCCCGTGCCCCCGAAAGGTTTCAAATTGTCACCAGGTGACGAGGAGAGATCAATCAGAAAATGGAATCAGAGGAAAATGGATAAAATCTGAGAATTCAAGGACGTGACGGCTTCTCCCAAAAGTTCCAAATGGCAGATCTATTATTGTGTGTGTGTCTCGTGCCCATCTTCGTCTCCATCTCCCGACCTCGGATTGACATCTTTCCATCAATGGAAGTTGACCCATCGTCCTGGAGTTGTAAATGGAATTGGTCATTCACGAACCAGGGACACTCCTTCGAAATGGGACTATCTTGGAAAGGAGAGGAAGACCCAGAGGCCACTGACGACATTGAACTTCCAAAATTGCAGAAATCTTGTAAGCTTCTTTCGTGTCAAATAAATGGTTTCTTGAAACCACAGAGTCTATTTCAGTGTCGATCGCCCACATACGACCCTTTGCAACTATTTGACCCCTCTTGACATTTTTGCACCCTGTTGGCAATATTACACTATCTTTAAATAATAGATTTAATAATAATAATAATAATAATAAAGCATACAGACAACAACTACACCATAGATTCACACAACAATATCCTCACCTCACTGTCACCGAACAAAAGGTTGTTGATCAAAAAAGAACAATTATACACAACAACCTTATCCCACAAAAAACACTTGAACTTATCAAACAACAGGTTGCTGATCAAATATATCAACAGACAGAAACATTTAACATTATTAATGAAGATCACATAACCTGTCAGGATAATCCAGCAACAAGCATTGATAATAGTACACATACAACAATTACCATTAATGATACTACAGACACTTCCTCATCCATCACTGATAACATAGATATAGATTTAGTTAATACACTATCACTTATATTTCAGGAAACACTCACTAAATATACAGGTACAGATCCCACACAAAGACCACGAATACCGAAAATCAACACGTCAAGGGCAGTAGGAAAAACATTACATTATGTAAACACTCACTTACTACCAAACTACATTCATTCAATTTCTACACTCTCAGACATTCATACATTAGTTTATGCTGGGGCAGTCACAGTAGTAACACACCATGGACTGAAAATACACTCACAGACAGACACACACAAAACACAATCCTATCACAAGCCTGCCTGGCAGAGAAGAATAGAAACACAAATAAATGACATTAGACAGCAATTAGGCAGGCTGACACAATACACTAAAAACAACATAACACCCAAATTAAAGAAACAACTCAAAAACATTTTCAAGAAAATCAAAACACACACAAAACACGAACATCACAACACACACATTACAGAATACATCGATACACTAAAACAAAAACTCGCAGCCAAAGCACGTAGACTCAAACGATACAAAACATGTACACTACGAAAACAACAAAATAAATTATTCACAAACAATGAAAAACTTTTCTACAGACAAATCAGTACCAAAACAAACACTGATACACAGCACAGTGGCACACCAACAGAAGAAGAACTCACAACTTATTGGTCTTCTCTTTGGTCCAATGCTGTTACACACAATGCTGATGCAGGCTGGATCGAGGAGGAGAACAGAAACTTGCACAACATACCAACTATGCCCTGTGCTGAAATAAACATACGCGACATTCGCTACGCTGTTAACAGAACATACAACTGGAAGACACGTGGTGTAGACAACATTCACAATTTCTGGTACAAAAAGTTTACATCACTGCACCAGGAACTAGCCAAACACACATCATCATCAATCCACAAGACATGCCAAAATTTCTTACTCAGGGCATCACCTCCATGAAACCTATAAACAACAACACCAAAGACCCCACACAATACAGACCAATTACATGTCTTCCAACACTATACAAATTATTGACATCATGTATCACAAACAAAATATACAAACATGTTGAAGAACACGACATTCTTACAGAACAACAAAAAGGTTGCCGTAGAAATCACAGGGGATGCAAAGAACAGTTACTCATAGATTCAGTCATT